CATTAGTGGTAGAGAAACTGGCAGATAATTTCAAAAGTAATGATTTTAATTTTTAAAAACTATTCTATTTTTTTAGAAAAATGAGTATATCTGATATTACGGGCAATCACTGCATACAAAGTGCCCATGAGAAAGGCCTAATGTGGGAGGAATCATAAAGGTGTTTGACCTCCTGCTTATCCCTTTGCTCATGTCTTTCCCTGGTTCCTGCTGGAAATGGATAGCATCTGTTCTCAGATTGACGCAGGGTTGCCAGTGATGAGATGATCTTTCTTTAAGCTAGCTGGCTTTCCGATTCTCCATTCTTAGAAATCAGAGAAGTTAAGTATTTTGGCTTCAGGTACTTTTCTCTCTAGTTAGAATATAAAAGGTGTTCATAACCAACAAAGTCAAGGAACTGTCCAGACCAAGTACCTGAATTGAATATAAATGCTTATGTGCCTGGGATTCCCCCCTCCGCAGAATTTTACTGTCTCGTCCCCAGCTCTGTGGTTCCATATTTGGGGGCTAAGCCCACTACTGTTTAAAGTCACCATCATATGAATGGCATGTTTAATTTTGTCTGCATATTTTGACCAACTTGTTGAAGCTCATCTTCATTTCTGTTTAAGTTAGTTCTGAGCTAGTTCCCTGTCTAGGTTGGTTGGAGTGTTAGCGGCAGCCTCATCTCTTCCAGGGAGACTTCCCTTTCTGTCCAAGAGCCTGGAGAGCTTTTTCTTCTTCTAACTTCCCTGGCACTGCAGTCAGTCCACTCACCCTGTGCTAAAGCAGTGATCCTTGGGCAAGTTTCTTGCTCCTGCAAAGTTCTATTTCTGGTTTTACCATGCTGGATTTTTAATCATTTAGAGACATGAGTATCATGTTCTCCCATGATGCTTTTAGTTCTTGGCATTATTTTTATGTCTTTGCTTGTCTCACCAGCTGTCTTTCATAGTCCATGTATTACAGAGAAAATGTTTTATCTTAAAAAAACCCCACCTTATCTTATAATAAAAGATGTCTCAAAAGCAATTAGCATGTTAATCCTGTCTCTTGGCACAGTTACCAAATAACTGGAAGGTACTGAGTACTCATGTTATATCCGCTTCCAAGTTCTACTTACTGTATTTATTTATGTAGTTTTTTACATCTTTATTGGAGTATAATTGCTTTATAATGTTGTGTTAGTTTCTGCTGTACAATAAAGTGAATCAACTATATGTATACATATATCCTCATATCCCCTCCCTGTTGAGTCTCCATCCCACCCTTCCTATCCCATCCCTCTATGTCATCACAAAGCACCAAGCTGATCTCCCTGTTCTACTTACTTTAAAATCTTCATTTTTTAAATATGTTAGTAGGTTTATAGTTATCTTCAGTATGTAGTACAAATTATTGATATTACTGGCACTTATTCCTCCAATACAAAAAATTATAGCTTATTACAGTTTTTGCCTGCAAGCAAAAGTTTGAAAGCCAATTACATTGTAAGTAAGGGATTTTAGTGCACTGTTTATTTGGCTTGTATGGCAACCTTGTATTACATTTTACTGCAGTTCTGATCTTTAGACAAGAATTATATCTTTTTGTAGCTATAGTACCAAACAGCAGGAGCTTGGTATTTATTTGTTGAAATGTCATTATTCACAAGAACTGTAGTTCAAGCTCCTTGAGGACAGGGACCACATTTATTGTTCTCACCCAGTGCCTAGCACAATGTAGGCACTGAATCAATGCATGCTGAGTGAATGAGTATGAGAAAGACCAAAGTATTATTACCACTAGCTCATTTTGGTGAACCTAGTGTAATAACTTAATATTTCTTATAATATTCTAATTGGTCTCTGTCTGATTACTGCCAGAAGTTAAAGTGCATTCTGCTGATCAGTCAGTACAAACTTTGACAAGAAAGCTGGAAACGTTGCCTGAAAGTTCCTCCCTCCCACAAAAAGACCTGAAGATTCCTGGCTTTGAACATGCAAACATTGAGGGACCAATAGCAGTAAGTAAAAAATATTGCTTTTTAAGAACTATGAGCAAAATGATAAAGTACTATGAACAAACAATGTAAACAGCCATACACACTTGGCTTTTGTTGCGGTCTTGGACTCAAACTTCTAATTTAATCAGTCAGTGGGTATCTGTGCCACTTACGCAGACTTGATTTTTCCTTCTCTTATTTGACCCAGAATTTATCAACACTTGGAACAGAAGAGCTCCGGCAACGAGAACACTATCTGAAGCAGAAGAGAGATAAGTTGATGTCCATGAGAAAGGATATGAGGACTAAGCACATACAAAATTCGGAGCAGAAAGGAAAACCTGCTGGGGAGGTAGAGGTATGGCTAGCTCTAGTATGAGAAAATTTGCAAATCTACGGATGGGATTCTCAAAATCAACATATGTGCTCTTGTAGATCTATTCATATTAACCTCCTCGTTAGTGTAGCACCTGATAATAAGTCTTTTCTAGGCAGTGAGATGGTTGTGATAGGAGGATTTTGTGAAGTAGAAATGGTAGCAGTTTTATGATTCTTTACTTGCCCTGCTCTGAGCACTGAAGGGTCAGCCGTCTGTTTTGCCTGAGCCTTTTGAAATATTTTATCATAGAGCAGCATCAGTACCCTAGCCACCACCTCTAAAAGGCTTCCCCAAGAAGAGATTTTTACAAAGAAGAGATTTAGGGAACTCAGTCCATGTGTGGCTTTTTTAAAAAATTTACTGAATGTTCTAATATTTGTTCAAGGCAGTATGTTAGGAATTTTAGAAAATGAACCCATCTTATTCTACTGTAGCCAATTTTTTTTCTTTTATTTTTTTTTAAGGAAATGACAGAGAAACCAGAAATGACAGCAGAGGAGAAGCAAACATTACTAAAGAGGAGATTGCTTGCAGAGAAACTTAAAGAAGAAGTTATTAATAAGTAATTTTAAGAACAATTTAGCAAAGCAGTTCAAAATTTCTTAAAAATAAATTATTTAATCCTTAAACAGAGCCTGTTAGTTTCAAATACTTGTGTTTGTAAATGCAAATATAACCTTATTGTTACTATTAAACATTTGAGGTAAAGGGTGGCGGGGAAGGCAGTTACTTATGCTGACCAGTTCAATACAAATTTCTGAATAATGTTCTCTCATGGAGAGAAGATATAGAAAGCTAACTGATAGTGCATTCATTCATTCATTGTTTGTGCTAAGCATTGTGTTGCATGCTAAGGATACAGTAGCCTAGTAGATCGACAGGGTCCCTGCTTTCATGGGGCCAAGTGAAGAGCCAAGTGTTTGTTAGAAGGGAAAAGGGCAGTGTTTTATCATAAACAGGGTCCTGCGGCTGTCAGTATGGCTAGCATACAAACAGAATGAGGGGAGGGGGTTAGCACACAGAATTGGAGATAGGTAGGGTGCTGATTTGCAAGGCTTGTAGGGAATGTGAGGGTTTTAAACATTTTATAGTGGCAGTTGGAAGTCACTGAAAAGTTTTAAAGCAGGGAAGGTTCATGATGAAAATGTTCATTTAAAAAAGATGTGTGGCTGCTGTGTGGAAACTACTGGGTGAGTTAGAGTAGCTGTGGGTGAACAGGTATATAGGGTGATCAGTCTAATGAAAAGAGTGGTTCTCTGGGGTGGTGGTGGACAGATGTTAGCATCCCACATCGAGGCAGGCGCAAACAGGACTTTGAAAATAGACGTGGGGATGTTAAAAATACTCTATTATTCTTTCTAGAAGAGCTACCATTAAAACAGATAAAGGAACAACTGCCTGAGCCTGTTGACCTGAATTCTGCCATGGGTGTAGGTCTTCTGTGTGTGAAGTGATCCCAGGTAGTGTTCTGTTGTCCATTTGCTAAAAAATAACCAGAAATAGTAGGAGAGAAACCTTCCTTTCAGAAGCTTCCTGTGTTGTGTCATCCCATAAGCACCCTCTTTTCTAGTTACGGGCCACTCCTGAGTTTAACTTACAATTCCATTTTATCTCCTTAAATCTATCGTTATAAACTTTTTAAAAGGGATACCAAAATTACATTAGTTCCAACTTTCAACGTGCAGAGAAAACTCAGCATCACTTTATATTTGTCACATTTTCGTCACAGATGGACAAGTTGAAAAACTAGTGGTTAAAACACAGAAATCTGTTCATGTAGCTTTTTATTAAAAATAGTTTCTATATTGCATACATGTTTACAGATATAATTTTAAGAGAACCTCAGGCATACAAATGTGGGCTCCGGCTTGCTTCACTGAGTGAAGATAAAGATAAAAATCTTGATCTGCCTGAGGGTAGACATTTAAGACAGCAGCTAACGTGTAATCTTAAGTTAGTTATTCTTTCAAGGGTTATTTTTAAGTCTTGTTTTCGTATCATTGTGGGTGAGCATCTGTACCATGAAAAGTGTTTTCCTGTAATTCAACAAAACATTCACATTTCTGCTATAAGAAAAGTTTCTCCTATGATGATTTAAATGATTTAAAAGACTTGTGGCAGGTCTTCAGAAAGGAAAATTAAAGAAACTTCATAAGATATATAAAGATAATACTTCCTACTGGAACTTAAAATTAATCAGGAAGAGTCAAGAGTAAATAGGGAAACGCTTTAGGGTTGGGCTTATTAGAGTCCAAGAGGAAATTTAATAAGAGCTAAGAAGAGTGAAGGGGCTTGATAAAATTTGCTTGAAAGAAAATGTATTCATATGGTAACTTTACTGATCTTGGTTTAAATCCTGATTCACTTGCCTTTATGAGGTGGAAGGTCTTTTTCAATATATGTACCTTTAATCAAAGAGGTGGTAAAAGCCCAATGCTGTGATGCTTTGGTGCTGGGACTTTTATGTGTCCAAGGCATACCTTCTATGTGCAATTGACCCTTGTTTAGAATTCTTTCATTCAGATTGGTGTATGACACAGTGGTCTATAATAAATATCTATGGATAACTTACTGGCTTTAAAAAGATATTGTAAAATGGACACATCTCAAAATGGAGTTTACTTATATTTACAAGAAACCAAACAAAAGCAACAAACATAGAATTACAGGGTCACATTTTAATTCCTGAATTTTACAGGTCAGCATTAATATCACCACATGTATACAAATGGTGTAAAACAAGTACAGTGGTATTTTTAATACAAAATAAACATCTGTTTTATGGAAAAACTATACTTCGTATCTACACAGACAGCCCATCTTCCAAACAATAGCCAAAATTAAAATTAACTACAAAATCTCCAAAACAGGGGAAACTGCTTCAGTTTAAGCTATTCCAGGAAAAATGGACCCGTAACACATTACAAGGGTGATCTGAAGGCTGTAACTGGAATTACTATTTTTAGTTTTTTGGTTTTTTTCTTCCCAATGCATTAAATTGTAGTTTGGGGGATGTTTTTCTCACTTCAGCATCTCAGATCATAGATGAGCAAACTAACATTAAAATATTTACAGTTAACTTGCTGTTCTAAAAATAAAACCTCTTAACTGTTTGCCTCAGTTTATTATTTTATATTCATTTACGTACATGGAATGTGCTTTTATTCTTAAAAAAAAAAGCAGCTTTCATATTACACCCTTGTTAGTTCTTGGAAAAGCTTCATGTGCTGCATACTCTGACACTGAAGTAACTTCTTGGATCAAAATGGCCTGTAGATATTAAATGCCACTTAATTCAGCACTATTCTTTGTATGTTAGTCTTTACAAATTACACTTTAAAACTTGCCTGCAGCTCTGGAGAGAGACAACTTTATTAACAAAGCAGAAAGTGACTTCAAAGTATCTTCCACAAAAGATTGTACTGGTAGGCAGTTGAAAACATTCTGTTCAGTCCACTCCCATTTCTAGAGAAAATCATTCTGGAATACTACCATACTGATTCTTGGCATCTGTTATCTGTAAAAGTGCTGATTTTAAAGTTATATTAACAAAACTGCCCATTTTGAATCCAGCTTGTTTGTTTTCATCAAAATACACATTGAAAGTTCCTGGTGTAGAAAACTCAACATGTGCTTGTAATACAGGGTGTATTTCCCTCTACCTACCAGTAAGGCTGAATTTCTGTTATATCTTCAAAGAAATGGTCCCAACAGCTTAACTTCATTTTTTATGATAGTTGAACTTGTTTTCCATAAAAATTTCTTTTAAAAAGAGGCAACTGATTAAAAGAACAACATGGCCAGCACCATTATACAAGTAATGTTATTGGGTTTGCAACTGAAGTTTTATAACTGTTTCTAAATCAGAAACCCTCCTGGAGCAACCCTGCATTAATATTATTTTATCAACTTTGTCCCTCCCCTAAACCGTCCCAAAACCTGAGAGTTCCCTTGCTGAGAAGCTATCTCCCAGGTTCTGGTTACTAACTTTTTTTTTGACAGCCTGAAAGGCAAACCCATTAATTACTAGCAAGTGATCAAGTTCCTGGGAAGCCTGTTTTTTTTTTTTTTTACAGAGCTAAACTCTCCTAGCTGATATACTGAGTGTCTTTTGCTATTCCTTGTATATTTATAAGTTCAAGTGAGAAAGCTTTCTGATTCAGATTTTCAGCTCACTGAACAGCTGCAGCATTTTTGTACAACCACATGTTGAGGGTCCCCAGTAAATATTTTATGAGCCAAGACGAGGTCTCTTCCTGGGAGATGTTTCTTCTTCTTCATCTTCCTCTTCATCATCTGGATAATCCACTAAACCAACCAAACTTCCCTAATGAAGAATAAAAAAAAAATTAACATATGTAACAACAGAAAAAGCTAATTAGTACAAATGTAGTCACTTTTAAAGGTATTAGAAATCATTTTTCTAAACTAACCACATGTATCTGAAACAGATATATTTGAATTTGATAAAGGAACTGCTTGAAATTATGAACAGTTAGTAATAAGTACAACTGTTGGTATTCTTAGTTACCCTCAACTTTTTTATGGGATTTTTAATGATACCTCATAATTCAACTCAGCAAAATTTCACTGTGGAAAAATATCTCCAAACAGTAGGACTCACAAAGAATCATGACATTTGGAGCTAGAAGGACCTTGGAGATGAACTAGTTCATTTCTCTAACCTTACACGAGATGATAGCCAGCCAGTGACAAAAAGGTGCCTTTTAGTCTCTGTGTGTATGTGTATATATATATATATATATGTATACCTCATGTATATATTTCATCACTAAGTACACATCATTGTTTTTTCTGCTTTTTGAAGAATAATTTTAAATGGCTGATGATAATAAACACATGAAATGGTTCCTAAAAACTAATGACAAAAATTTAGGACTATCTCTCTCTACCCAGAAGAAAAGGATCAGATATTTCAGGTGTTCGGCCTTTTATAAGTAATGGACCCCTTTGCAAATCCTATTAAAGCTCTGGACACTTTACCCAGACAATTAATATGTCCTCAGGTCTGCATTAATTTGAACCAATTCCATGAAATCTGTACACATACCTTACAGGTTAAGAGAGCTACTGTAAACACTGCATCTAGTTCAAACCCTTAAGACCTCTAGGGGATAAGCAAGTACAATTGAAATGAGTCATATTTCAAACCTAAGTAGCTTCATACCTAAAGAATCCAGGCATCTAGCATTAACACTTTACCAGAATATAACTGAAACACTAATATTAATCAGCAAAGGGCTCTGAGCAGCTAGAAACAGTTATCAGAAAGTCTGTGAATCAAATAAAACTTAATAGTTAAGTGAGAATCTTTCTGCTTCTTTCTCAGCTTAACACACAAACTGTAAGCTGGATAAGCAAGTAGTGTGGCTGAATTTAAAACAAAACGTAAAGCACTTGGCACAGTGCTTGGTATGTAGTTACTATTCAGTAATTGCTATTAGCTACTATTACTGTTATCATTATTTGTTATTTGGTTTCTAAGCCAAACAAGTTGGACGAAAGGAAGTAGAAGACATAATTACAGCATAAAAAGGCACCAGTCTGATATTCACACAGCAAATTAAGGAAAGTTTTACTTTTAATCCTATATATCATAATGTACAAACATTTCAGTTCCAAATGGTTAACATTTAAAATAATTTTTGGCATAAGATCAATAAATATTCTATCTGACACTCGGCTACACAATTTAGTTTTCAATTTTACCTCTATTATCTATACATATATATACCATAAACAAACTCATATTATACATTTAAAAAATCATGTTTACCATACAAAGAATAACAATACAAAATATGAAATATTGGAAGTAAAAGGAACTATAAATCCACAGGTACACACTGTGAGGAATTTGATAGGTTCCAGACTTTTAATATATAACTATAAATGTATTGCTTTTAAACAAATATCAGCTTTCAGTGTTAGTACACAAAGTTCTATTTCATTCTTTTAAACTCTAGTATTCCATGGTACGGATACACTGCCAAAGTTAAATTCCTTGTTGGACATTTAGATTGCTTTCCCAGGCATTATATTCTCTTCAAAAATTTTTGTTTCTGACAATATATCAACAAAGACAAAAACGGAAAGGAGAAAACAGCAGGTGAAAGCTGTTAAGACATTTTTGGAAAAAGAAATCAGAGGCAAAATAACTCAGTTTTAATGGAGAACGAAGTCAAGAAAGAAGGGTTTGCAGGGGGATATAGAAATAAGAAGCAAACTTACTTGTCTTAACTGCAGAAAAGACTACGAAGTAAGGGAACCAAAATACTGGGGAAAGCAGGGAAGATGATTAACAGTTGAGTCAGTGAAACAGACAACTGAGTCCTCAATTCTACAATTCGTTCCCCTACCACACGCCTACCCCCACGGGGAGATTCCGGCTCCTCTACCACCACGAACCATAAAGGAAAAGCAACAGAAAGGCTCTGCACTTCAGGACTTCAGGCACAGTAAAGGGCAGGGGAAAGGTGCCAGTGTGAAACAGTAAATTCTGCATGCCAAGCAGAGACACGCCCACCTCCATTCTAAGCTTTCGTTCCCATCCAGGCTCTCAGAACACCAGCAGGTGAGCTTATACTCACCAGGTGTAGCAGACTAGCTATGCCTGTAAGAGCTAAGTGGCTCCACAGGGAAAAAACCCCAAACCACTAACACTCCCTAAAAAGAGCAGGGCATTTGCTCTAGTCTTTTATATGAAGTCCACATCAGTAGGCCCTTCTCATTGTTTTTAACTGCCTTATTTTAAAAATTGAGACATAATTCACATACCGTAAAGTTCACCCCCGTGCAGTGTACAGTTCAGTGGTTTTAGTATATTCCCAAAGTTGTGTGACCGTTACCACTAATTCCAGAGTGTTTTCATCAACAACCACCCCCCAACACCTCTACCCATTAGTCACTTCCCATCCCTCCCTCCTTCCCAGCTCCAGGAAATCACAAGTCTACTTTGTTTCTAAAGATTTGCTTATTTTGGACCAGTTCTTATAAACGGAAGCATACAATATGTGGCCTTTTGTGTTGGGCTTATTTCACTTAGCATAATGTTTTCGGGTTCATCTATGTTGTAGCATGTGTCAGTACTTCATTGCTTTTCCTTTTTATGGCAAAATAATATTCATCGTTACGGATATATCACATTTTGTTTATCCGCTCATCAGATGATAGACATTTGGGTTGTTCCCACTTTTTGGCTATTATGAATAATGCTGCTATTAATATTCATGTACAAGTTTTAGGGTGGACATATTATTTTCAGTTCTCTTGAGTATATACCTAGGAGTGGAATTTGACTTTTTGGGGAACTACCAGACTGTATTCTAATGCATTTGCACCATTTTATTGATACATTCCCATCAATAATGTATGAGTTGCAGTTTCTCACTAACACACGTTTTTGTCCATGTGTTTTATTATAGCTATTTTAGTGGGTGTGAAGTAGAATCTCGCTGTGGTTCTGATTTGCATTTTCCTGACTAATTTGCATTTTCCTGACTAATGATGCTGACCATTTTGTCATGTGCTTATATGCCCCATCTGTATATCTTCTTTGGAGAAATCTTTTTAAATGCCCATTTTAAAACCAGGTTGCTGTGTTGTGCTGGAGAGTTCTTTATATATTCTGGATACCAGTCCCTTATCAGATATATTTTCTCCCATTCTGTGGACTGCCTTTTCACCGTATGATAGTGTCCTTTGAAGCAAAGAAGTTTTTAATTTTGATGAAGTCTGATTTATCTGTTTTTTTCTTTTGTAACACTTGTGCTTTCTGTGTTATACCTAAGAAATCACTGCCTAGGGGAATTCCCTGGTGGTCCAGTGGTTAGGGCTCTGTGCTTCCACTGCAGGGGGTGCAGGCTCAATCCCTGGGGAACTAAGATCCCGCAAGCCTTGCGGTGAATAAAAACAAAAAGAAATAAAAAATCACTGCTTAATTTGAGGACATGAATATTTACACCTGTAGTTTTTTCTAAGTGTTTTATCCTTTTAATTCTTATATTTAAAACTTTTGTCTACTTTAAGTTCTGTAACATGGTGAGGGGCAGGGTCCAACTTCATTCTTTTGAATGCAGATATCCAAGTTGTCCTAACACCATGTTGAAAAGATGATTCTTTACCTCAGTGAATTGTCTTGGCAGTCTTGTTGAAAAGTCTACCTTTTTTTTTTTTTTTTTTGGTGCTGTGAGCCTAGCAGATGAATTTATTTTATATTTTTGCTGCATAAATAGATTAGCACCTCACTGAGGCACTTCTCAAGGCTTTCTTTTTTTTCTTAGTTTTTATTTTTATTTTGTATTGGAGTATAGTTGACTAACAATGTTGATTAACAGGTGTATAGCAAAGTGATTCAGTTATACATATACATATGTATAACTGAGCAGAGTTCCCTGTGCTACACTGTAGGTCCTTGTTATCCATTTTAAATATAGCAGTGTGCGCATGTCAATCCCAAACTACCTTACTTTTTAATATGAAAGAAAATCCAAGCATCACCAGACACTTGAGAAACATTTCTACTATGAAAGAAGGGATCAAAACAACTGATGTAACAATAACAAAAACCTATGAAGAAACAATGACTCTTTCTGAACTAAAACTGACAAATTAACAAATTTTAAGTTAGGAAACTTAACATAATTCATCATATTAACAAATCTAAGGGGACAGAATTCAAGAATTATCCTTGATTCCAGTGGGCCCCAAACTTTTTGGCACTAGGGACCGGTTTTGTGGAAGACAACTTTTCCATGGTTTGGATGGGGGGTGGGGGGATGGTTCAGGCTGTAATGTGAGCGATGGGGAGCGGCAGATGAAGCTTTGCTTGCTCGCCTGCCACTCACCTTCTGCTATGCGGCCTGGTTCCTAACAGGCCTGGGGGTTGGGAACCCCTGCTCTACTCAATGAAATAAAGAATACATAGATGGGACTTCCCAAGTGGTCTAGCAGTTAAGACTCCATGCTCTCAATGCACGCGGCTTGGATTCGATCCTTGGTCAGGGAACCAGATCCTGCATGCTGCAGGATGCAGGTTGCTGCAGCCTACATGCTGCAACTAAAGGTTCCGTATGCTGCAACTAAAAGATCCTGCATGCCGCAACAAAGATCCTGAGTGCCACAGCAAAATAAAAAAAAATAAAAGAATACATAGATCTTCCTTCAACATGATTAAAAATTTTTAATCATCAGTAAAGGTGATAGTCGCAACTACTGAGCCTACGTGCTGCAACTACTGAAGCCCATGTGCTGCAACTACTGAAGCCCATGCTCCGCAACAAGAGAAGCCACTGCAATGAGAAGCCTGCGCACTGCAATGAAGACTAGCTCCTACTCGCCACAACTAGAGAAAGACCATGTGCAGCAACAAAGACCCAATGCAGCCAAAAATAATAAATAAATTTCATTAGTAGCTACTGTTTCGCTGATCTTGAAAACTACAAAATTTTCAAAGAATGTGATTTTTAAAAAATATGTTAGAGCTTTAGGATGCCTCCCAAAGGAAAACAGACAAATTATCACCTGATCTATTTAATTTTAAGAACCAATCAATTCGATTGTAGGAATCAACAATGGTGACGAAAATTATAAGATGCTGATGAAAGAAACTGAAGATGACACAAACCGATGGAAAGATACACCGTGTTCTTTCCATGAAAGAATGAAAGAATCAGTGTTAAAATGACCATACCACCCAAGGCAAACTATAAATTCAATGCATTCCCTATCAAATTAAACAGGACTAGAATAAAAAATTTAAAAATTTGTATGGAAACACAAAAGACCCCAAATAGTCAAAGCAATCCTGAGAAAGAAGAATGGGGCTGGAGGAATCAGGCTCCTTGACTTCAGACTGTACTACAAAGCTAAGTCATCAAAACAGTATGGTACTGGCACAAAAAACACCCATATAGATCAATGGAACAAGATACAAAGCCCAGAAATAAACCCATGCACTTATTGTCAATTAATCTACGACAAAGGAGGCAAGAATATACAATTGAAAGACAGTCTCTTCAACAAGTGGTGCTGGGAAAACTGGACAGCTACATGTAAAAGAATGAAATTAGAACATTCTCTAACACCATATACAAAAATAAACTTGAAATGGATTAAAGATCTGAATGTAAACCAGATACTATAAAACTCCTAGAGGAAAAGATAGGCAGAACAATCTTTGACATAAATTGTAGCAATATTTTTTTGGATCAGTCTCCTAAAGCAAAGGAAATAAAGGCAAAAATAAAAAAATGGGACCTAATTAAACTTAAAAGCTTTTGCAAAGCAAAAACGAAAAGACAACTTACTGAATGGGAAAAAGATTTGCAAATGATAGGACCAATAAGGGGTTAATATCCAAAATATATAAACAGTTCAAACAACTCAACATCAAAGAAACAAACCCAATTAAAAAATGGGCAGAGGATCTACACAGACATTTCTCCAAAGAAGACATACAGAAGGCCAACAGGCACATGAAAAGATGCTCAACATCACTAATTATTATAGAAATGCAAATCAAAACTACAATGAGGTAACATCTGACACTGGTCAGAATGGTCATCATCAGAAAGTCTACATTATAATAAATGCTGGAGAGGATGTGGAGAAAAAGGAACTGTCCTACAGTATTGGTGGGAATGTAAATTGGTGCAGCCACTATGGAGAACAGTATGGATGTTCCTTAAAAAACTAAAAATAGAACTACCATATGACCCAGCAATTCCACTACTGGGCATATACCCTGAGAAAAACAGAATTCAAAAAGAGTCATGTACCACAATGTTCACTGCAGCACTATTTACAATAGCCAGGACATGGAAGCAACCTGTCCGTCAACAGATGACTGGATAAAGAACACGTGATAAATATACACAATGGAGTAATACTCAGCCATAAAAAAGAATGAAATAATGCCATTTGAGGCAACATGGATGGACCTAGAGATTATCATACTAAGTGAAGTAAGTCAGAAAGAGAAAAACAAACATCATGATATTGCTTGTAAGTGGAATCTAAAAAAAAAAAATGATACAAATGAACTTATTTACAAAACAGAAATAGACTAACACACAGAAAAGAAACTTATGGTTACCAAAGGGGAAAAGGGTAGGGGGGGAACAGATAAATTAGGAGTTTGGGATTAACATGTACACAATACTATATATAAAATAGATAACCAACAAGGACCTACTGTATAGCACAGGGAACTATATTCAACATCTTGTAATAATCTATAATGGAAAAGGATCTAAAAAAAGAATCTATCTATCTATCTATCTAATCTATCTACCTCTGAATCACTTTGCTGGACACCTGAAAAGCAACGATGGTGAAAATGGCTAAAGGGCCATTGGTGATAAAGAACTTGCCTTCACTTAGAAATGTGGTCAGTTTGCTGAAAAAAGTTGAGAGCCAATATAACTAGTGCTTTACTCTGTGAGCTCCTATCTTGCTTAGTATCAAATTTTTGTGATAGTCTTGAGTGACTGAGCAATTAATTAGTTTTCCAAGAACAACTGCTATTTTTCTATCTGTTCCCCCAAAAGATGTAGAACAAATGTATTCGGCAATCTGCTGTTAGTGTCAAAAAAGGTGAAATATGTGTTTGTGTTCGCACTTGATTTTGCTTGTTCATAAATAAAAAATTATCTGTAAGGACAGTAAATTAAAAACTCAGGGAAATAACCCAGAAAATAGAACAAAAAAATGAGTAATAGGAGAGAAAAATTATGAAAATTATAAGGCCCAATATCCAAACAATAAGCTATAGTGAAAGAGCATAAAATGTCCCAAAACTAAAGGTCATGACTGTTTAGCTGAGAATGCCCAAAGTATATCATCCTGAAATTTCAGAATACAGAGATAAAACTCCAAATGCTTCCAAGAAGAATCAAATAAAATCACACACACACAATCAGGAGTAAGAATGTCTCTGGAATTCTTGGCAGCAATAACTTCGAAGTTTTGAAAGAAAATTATTTCTAATTTGGCTCTACATTCAGTTAAATTGTCAATCAAGTATGAGGATACAATAAAGACATCTTCATACATGCAAGGTCTCAAACTTTATCTCTCATGGAATTCTTTTTCCAGGAAACAGAGAGGGTATGCTCCAACAAAATGAGATGGAAAATCAAGAAAGAGAACAGAGACCTGAGATCCAGGGAACAGTCAACATAAGAAAAGAAGCAAGGCAAAAGGAAGTATTAGTGTGATGGCAGAGGCAGCCGTAAGACAACAGATGAGCAGCAAGTCTGGAGAGGAACCAATATAGGCTGGGACAAGATGGGAGACTTTAAGAGAGATGTCTCCAAGGGGGAGACTATGTGGAAAATAACCTGAGAGGTTATTTACTCTATAAAAAGAGAAAAGTTATAAAGAAAAACACAGTGTAGAAAAAAAGCAGGGAAAAAAAGAGAAAAAAGCAGGAAAAAAATTAATGAATAAAGAATATTTGTGTTATTATAGCTATAAAGTTATCAAATATTGTTTTAACCAAAAATTGTGATACAGAGAGTAATAAGGGTGAGGATCTGGTACGGAGTGGTAAAACAATATGGCAGTATTAGCATATTAATTAGAAATAGAAGAACGAGCTAGAAGAGTTCCAAGCCTTCTCTGTGTAGAAGAGGACTGTTTTTTTTTTTCAATACTTTTAATGCTATTTATCTTTTAAAAGTAAGTGCATATATTACTTTGATTAAAAAAAAAAAAAAAAGAAAAGCTAGTATATATTGAGAATGTGCCAAATAGTGTTCTAAACTCTTTACATTTATTAAATAATTAAACCTTCACAACAAACCTATAAAGGAGGTGCTGTTTTATCCCTGTTTAAAATGAGAAAACTAATAAGGCCCAGAGAGATTAAATAATTTACTTAAGGTCAAACACAAAGAGGCACAGCCAAGATTTGAACCCAAGCAATATAACTCAACAGCAAATATTCTTAATATAGTGTCATAATATTATACTAAATTGTCCTATCAAAAAATGAAAATTTAAAAATTCTTATTCAGTAACATAAACTGTATTTCACAAACAGGAGAATCCTATTGAAAATGCTACTTCTGTGATCATTAGTCAAGAGCCCACCTTGCTACAATACTGAAGAAAGATTCTACATTTTTGTAAAATAAATAAACTCAGACTTATATTCTGTGTTCAAAACAAGAAGCATCACTTCACTTAGGTTTTCTACTATGGCCTTCTCTTGTCCTTCTAACCTTATACTAACAGTTGTCCTTTATTTATGCCTTTTTATTTTAAGCCACTCCTTTTTGGGGAAAAGGACATATTACATATAATAATAATGTAAATGAAAGAAAAAAGTTTTATATAAAATTTAAACTTGTTTACATGAAAAAAGTAACCAATGGGAAATACACTTGCTATGTGAATGACAAAAAGGTTAATATTCTTAACCAAAGACTCACTCATACTAAAAAGACATAAACCAATTTTTAAAAAGGCAAGACTATGAACAATTAACAGAAGACCAAATTCAAAAGGCTAACATTCAACCTTACTAGTAACAAATGACACAATTAGGAACGAGATATATACTGTCTCCTCTACCTAACTGGTAAAGATTAAAAATCATTATAATAACAGTGCCAAAGCTGCAGTGAACCAAGCATACTCATACAATGCTTACGGTAACATTAATTGGTATAGCCTTTCTGGAGAGGAATTTGACAATATGGGTGAAAACACTGTTCTACTCATCTATCCAAGAAAATAACTTAAAATGCAACAATGCCAGTAGTCAGTGAAATATCAGAATCAACTTATGTGCTCCAAAATATTGGTGGGGGGAGGGGATGCTTACAAATACAGCTAAATCAAATGAAATTCTACAGTCCTCATTAATGTTTTAATAACAGAGAAAAATTCTCGTAATTAATGGAAGCAGGATACAAAACTGTGCTTATACAGAGACTGTAATTGTGTCAGATAAACCCATACACCTAAAGAAAAATCAATCAAATGTTAGCAGTCATATTCTCTGATGACAATGTGTGCAACTTTTTTTCTTCTTTGAGATTATTTTTATTATCCAAATTTTCTTCAGGAAACATGAAATAGTTTTACAGACGAAAAAAGCGAAGTTTGTGTGTAGAGCAGTTTCACATACCTTGGTGGCTGTTACTGATGTAGCCAAGTTTGTAGTTTTGGAAGAGGATCCATTAGAACTTGCTGGTGGTGTCTGAGCCACTACAGATTTACTGTTTGTACTGTTTGTTCCATTAGCAGCACTAGTGGAGTGGGAGAAAGTAAATTTGAAGCCACCAGAAGATGTCCTTTTGGGAAGGTTTTCCTTGTCTTCACTTTCCTTTGCTAAAGCAAATGTAAAAATTTGAATTATCAGTAAATATTGCTAAGTCAAAGCATCTGAAAACAATAATTTAAAAACTTATAAAACAGTGCCTTTGCTTTTTTGTAAGAGCTAAGAGGGTAGAGCATGATGTGTACAGTGACAAGTCTTTATTAGCTGGAGTCTTAGAAATCTCAGGATTAGAAAGAAACTTCAGAGTCATATAACAGATCAGCCACCGTATGCTAGAATTCCACACTGCTATATCTAGGACTCTTCCAAGGACTCACTAGCTGTCTGACTCTTCCTTTCATTGTCTCTCTGCAGCTTCCACTCACTGACTCTACACTTCCATACTCATTGTGAAAACCTAATAATCTCTCCCACAAGTCAATAATATTCCAAATGCCTAAAGAAAATGATTAGGATCATGTTTATCAGTCATTTATTTCCTGAATATTCCAGGTTCCTTTATCTGTTTCCTTTATCACAAAGGTATCTACTATCCTTTAACATCTGGCTGCCACTATTTTTTTTTTTTTTTTTTTTGCGGTACACAGGCCTCTCACTGTTGTGGCCTCTCCCATTTCAGAGCACAGGCTCCGGATGTGCAGGCTCTGGACGCACAGGCTCAGCGGCCATGGCTCACGGGCCCAGCCGCTCCGCGGCATGTGGGATCTTTCCGGACCGGGGCACGAACCTGTGTCCCCTGCATCGGCAGGCGGACTCGCAACCACTGTGCCACCAGGGAAGCCCTGGCTGCCACTATTTTTGATTATGTTTCTTAACTGGATGCAGTACTTCAAGTATGGCCTCACTGCCTCTTCTGACAGTACTCAGGGCAGGGCCTGTAATGAGTAAAGGTAGAAGAATTTGGCTACCGAAAGGTACCTATTCCTTAGGACATTTTAATAGGCTCTTGTGATCCCCCAAGCTGAAATAAATAGAACTTATGGCAGTGATGAGTGGAAAATGAGTGAGGCTGGTAGCAACAGTTTCAAGGAAAATGTAATAAGAAATTAATGAAACACTAACTAATGAGAAATGCCTTTAGAAAATCACACGTTGAAAATCACAAACTAGGAACCTCCCTGGTGGCACAGTGGTTAAGAATCCACCTGCCAATGCAGGGGACACGGATTCGAGCCCTGGTCTGGGAAGATCCCACATGCCGCGGAGCAACTAAGCCCGTGTGCCACAACTACTGAGCCTGTGCTCCAGAGCCTGCGAGCCACAACTACTGAGCTCGCATGCCACAACTACTGAAGCCCGTGCACCTAGAGCCCTTGCTCCACAACAAGAGAAGCCATCACAGTGAGAAGCCCACACACCACAACAAAGAGTAGCCCCCGCTCACCACATCTAGAGAAAGCCCACGTGCAGCAACGAAGACCCAACACAACCAAAAGTAAATAAATAAATAAATAAATTTAAAAAAGGGAAAGAAAATCATAAACTTATATATAAGTCTAGGAAATGCTTTTGCCTTTCAAGATATAAATTTTTTGAAACATTTAAATTATAGAATTAAAGTGACTGGTTCTTCTGAAAAACACTAGTAAGATCTTAGTTTTATAAACAAGTTAAACATATTTGAAAGACAGGAAATTTTACTGTTACTTTTCCGCTCTTGACATTTTATCTTTTTTTTGAACATTTATTTGTTTTGGCTGCTCCGGGTTGGGATCTTCAGGTGCGGCATGCAGGATCTTTTTTTTAGTTGCAGCATGCGGACTTCTTAGTTGCGGCCTGCAGGCGAGATCTAGTTCCCGACCAGGGATCGAATCTGGGCCCCCTTCACTGGGAGCACGGAGTCTTACCCACTGGACCACCAGGAAAGTCCCTTGCCATTTTATCTTTATGAAACTTTTATAACAATTTAAAACTTTCAAAGAGTAAAGTACTTCTTTCTTTAAGCTTAGTTTCTCCAGCTGTAAATGACAGAGCGCTTTGGAAAATTTCTATGGATCTATATGGTCTCTATTATTATTGAAGATTTCAGTATAGAAATAAAAGCACAACTGTTCACAGAAGGCAAAGTATAGACAATGCAATTTATAAACAGCAAATGAAGAGAGTCACAAAATGGCAAGTTTCAAGAAAAACATTTTAAACACTTTTTTTTTTTTTTTTTTTTTGCGGTACGTGGGCCTCTCACTGTTGTGGCCTCTCCCGCTGCGGAGCACAGGCTCCGGATGCGCAGGCTCAGCGGCCATGGCTCACGGGCCCAGCCGCTCCGCGGCATGTGGGATCCTCCCGGACCGGGGCACGAACCCGCGTCCCCTGCATCGGCAGGCGGACTCTCAACCACTGCGCCACCAGGGAAGCCCCATAAAATGTTTTGAAAAATCAGATTTGAAAAAGGTGATAATTTTAAAAGGTTTTGATTTAGCATAAAATTCATGTCTTTCATGCTTTATAAACTATTATCACAACTTCACAAACAACTGAATAATTTCTATACTAAATAAGAGAATGAACTAATCAAAAATTCAAAATTTTAATACCCTTTTTAGTCTCCATGAATTTTTCATAACTATCTGGAAAATCATCTTCTGCCTTAGATTTTTCCACTGGTGCCACAACTGTTTTCCCTTCCTCCTCTTCATCTTCATTAAACCACATTTCTTCATCCTCTTCCAATGCCTTTGCATCTCTGCGAAATCTGTTACTACGCAATATAGATGGTACACTGTAAGAAATATATCACAAATATTAAGTAGTGATTTAAAATTCCTGACCAGATTATATGAGAATATGTATAACCAAGAGGAGCTGAAATAATTTTAACTGAGTATAACTTATATCATAATCACCTCAGTTGCGATATAAGATGTAACCAGAAACCAGAGAACACTCCAAGGATGTTTGTACACCAGTCTAAAAATTTATCTTGAGTTATGATATGGAGCAGTAATCTTTCATACAAAAGATTCAGTGTAGGGAGAATATACTACCCTCCTACACAACCCTGTACTATCTAATGATGGAAAGAAAATTCCTGGGTAAATTTCATATGTAAGATCAAACTACACATGATTTTGAACATAATTTTATAGGCTATAAATGCAATATACTTAAACAATACCTGTTCAGTTTCTGATTTTGTCTGTCTTTTTCTTGCTCATATTTAGTCTTCAATCCTTTGAATGTCTGAACATATTCAATCGATTCAAGTGCTTTATAAAAGTTTTCAACTATATGTGTAGTAAGAGACTTGATATCTTCCTGTATAAGCACAAAATTTATATTTCAAATATAATACAATGCTTGTTAGAAGAAAAACTTAAAAAAATTTTTTTATAGTTCTAAAGCTGATCAAAAAAAAGGTTTTTCAAAATCATCTTCCAAAAATAAACGTCCTAGTTTCTTTATACATGAGCCAGGACTCCACAGAACACTTGGAAAAAAGGAGAAGTAATTGACTGAAGCCCTTTTGGGGGGACTATAAAGAACATTTGAAAGGTAAATGTATTTAGTTTATGTTGTCTGTTTATTTTTTGCATTTACATAATAGCACTTTACAATTTAAAAAGCGCTTATCACATACAATTTCACTTGATCCTCATAACAATTCTATAAAATATGTTTTATTAACCCTATTTTACAGAAAGGGAAAATTGAGGCTATGACAGAGACTGGATGGCCCGATCAAGAGTGCACACCTAGTTAGAAAGCAGATATTGAAATTATATTTTCAACAAACATTGAAAGATATTATTGATGATGCCTTGTTTAACTATCAAAACAAGATAAGCCTTACTTAAAAAATAAACAGATTCCTCTGACTATATCACATATACATATTTGGTAAAACAACTTGAATTCCTCTTGTATATTTCCACAGTTCTCTAGTGGTGTAATTTTTGTGAAATAAACCGATAGTAATAAATTTTAAATTCTAAATGAACCCTTTTAAGTGATCACTGCAAATGAATGGGTGCAAAGCAGGCTCATCATTAAAAATAAATAAGTTGTGATTCAGGACTAATACTGGTAGGATATATACATGCCACTTCCTTAAAAGATATACCATAACCTGGTTGTATTAAGGACTGTTCTATCTTTAAACTAGTTCCTCTGAATATCTGAATCAAAAAAAAATGCAAAGGAGAAAAATTAGAAACCTAGGTAAAATAGTTGTGTTACACACCGAAACAAAAAAAGGTAAGTTTTGGGATTCAATGTATATTTATCAATCACTCAAAATTATTTTCAGAAAAACAAATTCAATCATAGGAATAGGGATGGGGCTGTGAACCTTACAATTCATTTTATCCATATCTCAACAAAAATTTTAAACGAAAAAAATATATAAAAGTTAATCTCTAATTCATAGAACAGTACACTGTGAACCTGGGTTCAGATTCTTGGTGAGCTAGTCAACCATGTTCCTTTTTTTCCAAGGCTAAAGACAGTACTTCTATCTTCATCCTTTTTGCAAACCATACCCTTGGCAAGCGACTACTCTAAGAAAAACAATCTAGTCAGCCAAATAATCTTTACGTGGGAATACTGTGTCATCAGTACAAATCTGATTTGTAAGAAGCAAAACTAGAGAATGAATTTCTAGCTTTGACTTTCTTTTTTCAAGTTTTTTCTAACCATGTGGCCATTTCCTCCAGTGGAATCATTTCAGTGTGTGGGATGGTAAATTTATCTTACCGGTTCTTCAGTTATTCATCTTATCCCTGGTATTCACACAGAGCTCTCTCCAGATGTTTTTATGACAAATCTTTTGTTGCCTGACTGAGACTCAAGGATGAGCTGCACCATATCTTCAAGCCCTGCCTGTGCTCCTAACCAAATGAATGCACCTGAATAGGTCAGCTAATCACTTTGGGTGTCTCAAGCCCTCGTCTATAAAATAAGGCAGCTGAAGTAGTTCACCTAACTTCTCAGATTCTTCAACTTAAAATTCCATGATAACATCCTACGTTTTATGCATTTTGTATCAATGTCTACCAAGGGAATTATTTTTCAATCTTTCTATTCATTTTTATCACTACCCTTACAAAAGATCACAGAGATCACATGAATGGCATGCTTGAGGGAAATGTCCAATATGCTAAATATCCTGAAACATTTGGCAAAAAAATGGAACTGAGAAGAATAGAGCACAAATGCAGTTTTAAATACTATGCTGAATTTCACAATTTAAAATATTAACATCACTAAACATATAGTTATTTTAATTTACTAAGAATCTTTTAATATAAACTTACCACTCTTATAAATTCAAATAACTCAATAACAGCTGAATTCAACAGATTGTACCGAGTTCCATTATCCAGAAGAGCATTTATAACTGGCTCAAAAAGATTTCCCTTGGTGATGTAACGATTGTAAAATTCATCTTTAAGGCCAATTATCCGCCTCATAAAACGAAGAGCACCTAATTAAAAATAATACAGGGAATAAGTTGCCAATCTTACTGGTATTAATTATTATACAGGTATTTTTACATGAAGCAATGTATATGTTCTTCTAAAGTAAAAAGCAAAACTGCAATAAGAACAATTGGATTTTGCGGAAAACAGAATTAGGGAAAAACCAACTCAAAATTTGTACAACTTGGGGCGAGAGCTAACAAAAGCCCCAATAATTGGTAGGCAGACAGCTACAAGGCAGAGAGATTAAAAAATACACAAAAACCATACAACACAAATGCCGGCACTACTTAGAGCAGTGCTGGTGGATGTGGAGACAATGCAGTGAAGGCAGCTCAGAGTCAGTAGGGGCTGTCACTGAGAAGGGGACAGGAATGGTGCAACCTGCCAAGAGCCGAGACTGCTTTACCTCTCTGGGGGACAGGGCAAAGAGGGGAGTGGGGGGAGCTTTGGAGGTAGGTGCTTCTTTTAAGTTTTCTGAAAATACAGCCAAAGGGGCTCCTGCTACCAGTAAACAGGAGCGCCAAAGGTTTTTCTACTTTTCCGATGAAAGCTATTCCAGTTCTCTTTGCCTTGGGAAAATCATCTGTGAACCAACACTACCTCCGGATTATAATAACATCACTCCCTTGTTTACCAATTGCTTGTGAGCTGTTTAACCTTTAGTAAACATGTACTGTGGCAAATCAGACTGTAACTGTAAAAGAATGTTAGAGTAACAAATAAGCAGTATAATTTGGCTTTTTACATTTTAGAATATTGGAAAGAAAATTTCCCTTTAACTAGTCTTTTCCCCAGCTAAACATATTTAGCAATATTATTGCTAAAACCTTTATGGAACACAAAATACTGTAATTTCAATCCCTTATATTTATGTTTTATCTTTTAACTTGTAACCTCTCTCCTGAGTAGTTTAATTTATTCTACAGATAACACTAGCCACATCTTTTAAAACACAAGGTTTCTGATTTTGTAAGTCACTCTCTCATTTTAACCCTCTGTTCACAGATCTAAGTTATTAAAAGAAGTTGTGTCTGTCCAAAGAGGTTCTAAATATTATCTGAAAATAAAACAGAAATAGGCCACATAAGGTATAAATGTATGATAACTGTAAGACTAAACAGGTGCGGACAGAACTGCTAGACTTAAAACATCACCTCTTTTTATGGCAGGATAAGAAATAGTTTTCCTAAGATTAAAAAGACTGAAGTATTGCCAAAGACCTGAGCAAACAGGCACTTTCATACACTGCCTGTGAATGAAGTAACATGCACACAAAGCTATAGTTAAAACAGCGTTGTTTATAATAATGGAAATCTTGAAGCAATATAAACATTTAAATACTGGAGATTTGTTCAGTTATATCCATTTAAATGTGACCATTCTGCAGTCATTTCAGAAAGGACTACTTATAGAAAGCCATATAGGAAAACCTAGCATGAGAACATCAACTGTTCCAAAATTAATATTAAAATTTAGTGTAAATCCAATCAGGATGAACTGGATAAAGTTGTATTTAAGTTACTATGGAAGAACAAATGTCCAAGAACCAAGAAAATTATGAAAAGAAAACTGAGGAGGTACTTAGCAGATATTAAACTTTACAACAGAGATACTATAATGGCATAAGAATAAACTTTCCCATTCATTTTATCTAGTGAAATAAAAGGATAAATGGTTCAGAAATAAGACACAAGTATATATGGTAACTTACTGAATACCAAAAGTGATATTTTAATTCAGTAAGGAAAATATAGTTTATTTAATAAGGTGTTAGCACAATTGGCTATACATCCGGTAGAAAAGAAAGCTAGACTCTCACTTCAAACCATATGCAAAAACAAATTTCAGATGCATTACAAATATACAAAATAATAAAAAATATTAGAAGAAAATTGAGGAAAATATTTGTATAAATTTAGGACATAGGAGACTTTCCTAATAAGCAAGGCAAAAAACCCGAAAGCCATGAAAGAAAAATAAGACATATTTGTCATCATAAAGAATCTTATAGCAATTATATGCAAAACATGCCATAAATAAATGTAAAGACAAAAGACAAATGAAACTGGGACATTTTTTTCCCCAAAATGTGATAACTGCTAATATCTCTAACATACAAGAGCTCTAAGAAAAAGATAAAAGGCAATTCACAACAGACAAAATGCAAAAGCACTAAAATGTGAAAAGATGTTATCAAGGAAAATGTAAATTAAAACACAAACAGAATACATTTTCCATCATCAGCTGGATAACATATTAAAAAGCAGTAAGAATGAGTGCTATTCATTGAGTGCATTCTTCATGTCAAGTGCTTCAATCTTTTGGGAAAGTAATCTGGAAAGTAAATTAAAATTGAAAAAGGATATATTAAAATAAATAAACATTTTGCTCTGGCAATCCCAATATAGGGAATCTATCCTATGGAAATAAACAAGTAAAGGAAGATTTATGTATGGGTTGGCCAAAAAGTTCGTTCGGGTTTTATGGAAAAACCCGAATGAAATTTTTGGCCAACCCAATACCAGGCTATTTATTACAGTGCTATTTGGAATGGTAAAATACCAAAACAATCTTTTAATCCATGCAGTGGAGAATGGTAGAATAAGTTGCGAAAGAGCCACTCTATGAAATGTTACTCAGCTATGTTTAGGAAAAATATTAGTTCACACCATATCCAATGACCTAGCGTATTATTAAGGGGCTGAGATGTGTGTCAGCATGATCCTGTTTCTATAAAAATAAAACATGGAAACATATACATGTGTGAATGTTTATGTAAATTTGCACAGGTATGGAAAAAGGAATGGAAAAGAAGTAGTGCAGGCAGTTAACAGTGGCTATTTTAAGGCCTTAAAAATAAAGGAAGTAGTAGGGAGATTAATCTTTTCTCTATACATTAAATTAAATGTTACATTTTAACTATGATTTTCATGCTCAGAAAAAACCCACAGGGCTCTTTTTATTTCTAGGGAGAAGGTTTCTTTACCTCTATCAGCAGGTGAAACTATGAGAGGAAAGTAAAGTTAGGGTTCACCAAAAATCAACATTTAAGCAAACATCAGCATTTAAGTTTGACTTTTATTGGTCCAAGTGGTCTACTGAAGAGACCGTAAGTTATTTTACATGTTCAAATAAATAACCTGAGTTATACAAATACATTTCAAGGCCCATATCTCAAAAATATAAAAAGAGTCACTACTAAATGACAGTTTGATGAAGCAGATGTAAAAGACAGCAGGAGTGGTTCTATTAGTGAAGTGTCATTGCACATGGTATTATATCACAACTGAATCTAAATGTGAGCAATATGTGGGTGGGGGAAGCACTGTGACCTATTCCTCTTGTCCTTTAAATAAAAGAAAACAAAAGATTAGTATTTCTCGCAATCATCTCTTTAATAGCATATGCACTTGCTAGAAAAAAATAATTCCACATGGGTAACTCAGGCTTTTCTATTAAAAATGCTGTTCCATAAAACATTTTGTAAGAATGTTCATTGAAACTGTTACTTACACAAGGCCAGGAAAGTGTGCTTTGAATTCATCAAGACCAAGACTCTTCTTAGCAAGTCCTTGTTCATAATATAGTTTTTTATGTGATATGTGTGATGTTCCACACAAAATGTGAGTAGCTCTAAAATTAAGGCAAGCAGCTGTGCTGTTTGATAATTATCTACAAAGAAAGTCATCACATGAAAATAAACGTTGCAATACATCTAAGCAAAGAGAATAAAGTGTACATCCTGTATTTCAGAGCAAAAGTAAAACTGTATTTTCTTCTCCTTTTTGTATCAATTAAAGAAGCTATAGATTTTTATTTTTTCATTAGGTAGACTCTCCAGAAGTATTAGTTTTACCTACTAAATAGATATTCTAAGGCTCTTATATAAAATATTTAATAATGTTAAATAAAAATGTACAAATATGATAATAAAGCCCTCACTGCATTGAGATTTTCTTGGTAATGTTTCCTTAATATGTGCTGTCATTAATATTAATGGATCTATAAAAGGGTCCACTGCACAGTAAAAGAGGAAATACCTTAAACTTTTTGACTGAAGTGGTGTAACACAAATTTCTCAAGAAAAATTAATATGCTTTCTTTAAAGACTTCTTTAAGGAAAGGACTTTTTTGGTTGTTTGAATATTAAGTGAAAAATATTACATCATGATTTTAAAACAGTAATCTTTTTAACATCAAATCATATCCATGAGAGGCCTACTGAAATATACCAGCTCTTTCTTCCTCAAGAGGCTTTGGTTTACACATTCATGGAGTGATTTAAAATTGCTTCTTGAACATCAAAATTGAATGTATAGGTAAATTACCCATACCTACTGTAAATATTTTAGGCAAGAAAATATTAAGCTGTGAAGAAATTATGGAATCACAGCCTTAGAGAATAGAAAAAATAACTGACGTTATCAAATCCAACTATTTTATTTTTCAAGAAGACTACATAAATAAATATTTTGTGGAACATCACATGATATTATCAGGAACAAATCAGCAATCTTTTTAATAACAGAATGACTAGCAAGTATACAAAATACAATTCTGGCATTTCAAAGACCTTTTCTACTTTAAATGTAAGTAAAGAGTTCTACTTCTTTCAGACCAATTTGTACAACAGCCATCACCTCAGCCAGTATCTGAACTAGTTCCTCACCATTAAAATAAATTCTCTAAATTTCTCAATTCCCAAATTTTATTTACAAAAGATCTTGTAACAGTGATCTGTAGTGTTAATTAAATGCCTTGTTTTCACTTTTCCAAATTAGGACATGAAATTATTCATCATATCTCTAATAATCCAATCTCTGAACTGCTTCCTAATTTGACACTGGCTTTCCTAGAGCTTTGATGAGCCTGGTAGAAAAGACAGGAGGCCAGGTAAACACGGCATTATTTTCCATACTAACAGGCCAATACCTGATACATATGTTCCAAGTAGAAGCAACCATGTTTATACTCAGATTCATGAACGATACCTACGTATAAGACTATTGATGAAGACTAGTTCCTAACTGATTGGCCTTAGTTTACTAGATTTACAAAATAAGAATGAACTAATCCTCAACTTTAAGACACCTCCTTAAAAAAAAAGTCAGAAAACAATCTCTAAATTTACAGAGAAAAACAAAAACAAAATTTCAACTGGGTTTTGCATCTTTTATATTGGAGAAAGTGGAATTTTTTTTTTTTTTTTTTCGATACGCGGGTCTCTCACCTCCGTGGCCTCTCCCACTGCGGAGCACAGGCTCCGGACGTGCAGGCCCAGCGGCCATGGCCCACAGGCCCAGCTGCTCCGCAGCATGCGGGATCCTCCCAGACCGGGGCACGAACCCACATCCCCTGCATCGGCAGGCAGACCCTCAACCACTGTGCCACCAGGGAAGCCCGGAATTTTTTTATTTAAAAAAAATCTAGTTTTGGATTTTTTGGATGAAAATATGTCTTTCCTAGTTTTGTATAAGTGCATTATATTCTGTATAGGAAAAAACTTACAGTTTGCATTAGTTCATAAAGTATGAATCTATACTTACCGGGACAAATCGTGCTGTTTTTGTTAGATCCAACTATATTATCTAATAAAAAAAATTAAAATCAGCGACTTCAGTAATAATATCTTACACTTCCCTAGCACTTTACAACATACAAAGCATATCTCTGATCATAACCTCATTTTACCTGCATAATAACTATTAAGAATTAGTAGTTTCAGTCAAATATTATACCTCTATCTGAAATCTTTTAGAGAACTGGGTGCAGATGAAGAATTATTAAAAGACAGTATCATAAGTATTCTGACAAAATAACACAGATTTTAACAATTAGTCACTTATGTTTTGAATTTTTAAAAAAATAAGTATAACATTATAATTAAGTTTCGATTCGTAGGCTCACATCTTAGAGCACATTTATGTTAGGAAACACAAGAATGTATATCAGAGCATTGTAACAGGAAAAAGCTAGAAACAACTTAAATATACATTAGAAGCAGGATGGCTAAATTACAACATACTCATACAAAAGAATACCACGCAAGAGTTAAAAATAAACTCTAGGTATCAATATGGATAGATCTCAAAAAAAGCATTGGGTAAAAAGGAAAAAAATGCACAATAATGTGTACAATGTTAAGTCAATTCATATCAAGTTTGAAACTGTGAAAAATAATACCACATTATACATGTCACAATAATATAAACAAACATAGGGGTGATAAACTCCAAATTCAGCATTTCTTGAGGGATGGGGTGGGGTAGAATGAAAATGCATAAGAAACTATCTGTAATTTATTTTCTTTTTAAAAAAACTGAAAAAAATATGACAAGTTAGTTTTGATAGAGCCAACAAAGAATGTATCTGTGATGCTATCATGTAAATATTTCTGTATGCTGGGAATGTTTTATTTTAAAATGAAAGTTACAAATGCATTTGTTTTAATTTACATAAATGGAACCTTTCTGCAAAACGTTCTGTGACATGCTTTTTTTTTACCCAATTCATATTTTTGAGAACTAATCAGTCGACAGATCAAAATTCAATTATTTTAACTGCTAAACAGTATTCCATTATATGAATATGCTACATTTTCTTCATTTCCTACAATGCACAATGCGACAACATCCTTGTATCTGTCATGTATATGCATAAATGTCCCCTAGGATATAAACTCAGAAATGGAATTGATAGTATTATGTAGGGTGTACAATTTTATTAGTTTAGTAAACATTCTCTTAACTGACTTCCTCTTAATTGACTTAATAGATTAGCCAACATTTTCTGAGAATATGCCCCCCCACATATCTCATTTCATCAAGCTGAGTTGTATGCTTATCAAAGTCAGTCCTTTGTTTACACTAGTTATATTTGGTAATATGATTACACAATTTAAATACTGCAGATTGATGAAATGTCACAGAACTGTAATATCTATGGCTAAGTTGAATACAGCAGACCTCAATTTAAAAAATGATACCAACTTAGTCATACGAAACTATGAATACTTAAGTACTTAAAGGAAAGTACTTAAAACCACAGTAGAATTCTGCACTCAGACTGCTTCAAAAATATGTTTAGGTTTTCTCTCCACTATAATAAACTGAGACCAGAAACTGTAGCCGATGAATTACGGGTGCAACTTATGTAATGCAATATGGAAATACAAAAAAAAAAAAAAACCATACAAAAAAAAAAAAAAAAAAGAAAAAAAAAAAAAAAAAAAAAAAACCATACAAAAAAAAAAAAAGCCTTGACCCTATACAAACTATCAGTAAATGAGCAGCATTTAAAGTAAATGTTTATAAACAGTTTATTTTTAAAAATTATTCTCTGCTTTAACCAACTTTTTTGATTAACCTAATAACCTGATCCTTATGTTTTGCAATTAGAGAGTTTTTACTGTATTTCCAAATATGTCTCCAAAATGACGGTTACCTTGGATTTTGTAGGCAATATATTCTCTGCACTTACTCACTCTAACATTAACTCTAACAACTTTGGGTACAATCTCCTTCTTTTGGTAAGTGTTTACAGTTCTCTCCCTCAAGGTGTAATACTTTTTGCCACGTATTCTATATCATTCTCTACCACAGACACTCTGAAACAAGGGAAATCATGATTTTATATTGCAGTTTAAAATTTTCAGTAGTAATTTCCCTGTCATAAAAAGCACCAAGTAAAGTGTCTGTTAGCTATAATACTTATCTCACTCTTTTAAAACAGAAATCATCAGCAGGTAAGTAAGAGGCCCTACCCTTTTCACATTTGTCTTCTGAAGTATTGGTCAAAAGTGGTGCTGTGAGGACATGCATACAATGGTTGTAGAAGAAATTTAGAAATTCACTTTTTTCAGTTTTCTGAAACATACAAAAAAAATACTTTATTATCTTTATAATTAATAAAACATCTTCAAGGATTAACAGTGCACAGAGATACTTTTAAGATACTGTGAAAGAATCGAAAAAAACTTGTTATATTCATCTTAACCTTATTTCTGCAGAACTGAATAGTCAGATCTATTTCATATTATATGTTAAATAAAAATGAATGTAAGAAAAAGATCAGATAGCATTATAAAAAGTTTTTCCAGGGAAAATTATCTAAAACAATTTTTTTTTCAAATATGCGTGTGATCTGAAATGCAATGAAAAATCTATCAATGTGAGAGCAACTTAACCGTCTAAAATTTGAAACCCCAGATTTCACAATGTATTCAAATTTTAAAAAACACCAAGTTGATTTATCAAGCCACTAGAAATGTTACAGATTTTAGATTTTTTTTTTTAATTTTAAGACTTTATGACTTGGAAATTTGGAAAATAATTCCTTTCGGGTTTTTGGCCATTATTTTTTATATAACTGGTTCTATAAACTTGTAATGATTTAAAAATAATATACATTTTCTCAAAATTTGAGTGAAGTCTATAAAGGAGAAATATCCCAGCATTTTGAGATAACCACTATTAATATTTTGCAATACTTCCTTAAGCCCTTTTTTTGTGCTGACTCCTTTCACCACGCAGTTAAGATCATTTGGTACATATTGTTTTCTTTTTTATTGTGATAAAAAACATATAACATAAAATTTACCATCTTGACCATTTTTATAGTTCAGTAGTGTTAATTATATTCATATTTCTTTGTTTTAATTCTTAAGATGTTAACATACAGAGGCCAAGGATCATAAATAGAAGTGCTAACATTTTACCAAGATTTTAGCAGATTACAATCTTGTAGTCTGCTGCAAAAACAACTGCTAGAGGAACAGTACTGCTACTTGAATTCTGAGTGTACAAATGCTTGAATATTTGTTTTTCGAAATTGTACAAATTTACAAAATTTTGATTTTTACATATATTTATACATAACTTATTGTATATAAAATCATTTAAAACTGACTAGACCAAAACGTTTCTATCGCAGAGTAATTTCTTACATTAGTTGTAGCCAGCATGTTCTCTGGATCAATTAGAGTACGAAGAAGTCCCATTAACTGAACAGCACCTCCTAGCTCAGGATCAGTATCACAGATCATTTGTTCAATTACTACATTAATGAGAAGGATATCCTGAAAGAAAATGTGTTTCTGTGAGACCTGGTTCGGATATAAGACAAACGTACCAGCTGAAAGAACAAAATCGGAATCATACAGAAAAAAAAAACAAAAACAAAGAATGGATGAACTTATTTAAACCTTTTTTCCCCAATGTTTTCAAAGTTCTATAAACACACCAGAGCATAAAGAAGCCCACTCAAAAACAAAACAACACAATGCAAAAATCAGAGCACATGACAGCTTACAATATCATCAACATAGGCAATGGAAAACAAAATCATTTACCAGAAATTCTTGTTCACTGGAGGTTCTAACATATTTTCAGTCTAGGTTTTAGCTTCAGGCATGAATTTAGAAGTTGACTAAACCCAAGATTACACACATCAAGTGACCCCAGAACACAGATTAGTATGTCAGCTTCTAACAAGAAAATCCTTTCTGACAAAAATATGAGAAAAAATAACCCAGTACACAGCTCTCCACAAGAGGTAAAAGGGTACACAGTGTTATATAATGATCTAAAGCAGCCAAATAGACTTATTATTACATTAGTAACATGTTCTTGGGTCTTAATATAAAGAGCTACAAAGCAGCTTTGCAGATACAAAATTTATTTGCTTTCTGCCTATATTTTAAAAGTAGACACCTTAAGCATTAAAATAGGATAAAAAGTGATGGTTCAGGTCAAAGGAAAAAGTTTTGACATCAACTCAGAGGATTTGAGAACAGGTTTATTATTGGGGGAAGAAAGGTAGTAACTGAAGGAGATGAAATAAAAGAACTGCATGGAATGAAGATAAATTTGTTGAATTGGGAGAATTTTGTAAAATAATAAAAAGAAAAGTTCCAGTATAAAGCACATTTTGTAATTATTTTGCTTTTCTAGTCCCTCCCAAATTTAACATACTGTGTTATGCTAAAATATTTCCCTGTGAAATTGTGATATTAAATGCAATGAAGAACCATCAAAAACCATGTCATAGCAACTTAACTGCTTAAAATTAGAATCTTACCCTCTACCATGTCTCAAAATTTGAACACCAATGAATAATTCTATCATGGCGTCAGAAACAATGAAATTTCTTCAAAGAGAAATTATGAAATATAATTCACAGAGCTACATTAATAGACTCAAGCCTTATTTCAGTTAGAGGAGAAAGAGCAAATTCCACCTTAATCCGCTCCTGTGTCTTATTCTGGTATGTTCAGCAAAGTATATCACATATAAAATGTTAAGATATTACAAAAGGTATCAGCTAGAGAGCTTTCTTCAGAACAATGATATGGTATTTACTTACTTTAAAATTCATACCAGTGTGTACAACTTGGATTCTACCAGTTAATTAGGGGCTCAGATAATTTGCTCAATTATATATAAGCAATTACATAAGTTCATTCTTCCTCTTACATAATAAGTTCATTCATCTAAAACTAGGCCAAAAAATATATATATAAATGATGAATTTAAGTTACATCTAAATGAAAACACAGTTGCAAGAAAGACTTCTTAAGGTATAGCTCATACACTAAAATAATATTTCAATATATATACTTTAAAAGCTTTTTACCCTTCTCTCTCAAATGTAGTTTCTTACAAATCCTGCCTCATAAGTACCAATACCAAATTCTGCTGGTCTACACGCAAAGATAAAAGGGAAATGACCTGTGCTGACTGAGAGTCCCATAATCTGGTGACTTGTGGAAGTGAAAAAAGCCAATTTATATATTTCATAGTGAAATAGACTGCTACAGAGAACTATAGCCTTTTCAGGAGATCAAAACTGCCTTTCTCAAAGACGTGTAAAACTTCCTTGACAGACAAAGGTATATGCACCATTGAATACTATTCTGTAGAACTTTTTAGGGTACCCGAGCTTGAGAAAGCAAGGGCACAGAGGTCAGTAGGTAAACGGGAACCTTCGGGTTTAAAAATTATGCTTAGATAAGATGTCTAGAATACACAAGAAAATAATTTGGAAGCCTACTAAACAGTAGAGGAAGCTTAACTGTAAAGTAAGCTTTTGCAACAGTCTATGACTGTTTGATCTCTAAGACCACCACTGGGTCAGAAAACTCACACTGACAGAAAATAGGCTACAATACAAAATAGAGCCCTGGAGGAAAGGCATCTTCCATTGCCTAGCTCAGATGCAGCCACAGCTGAAAATGTCCTAAGGGAAGGAACCTAAGCTTTGGAAGAAAATGGGCAAGGAAAATTCTTTAGAGAACAGAACCAGGGACAGCTGGTATGGTTAATCAAGAACCTCTAAGGACAATGAGTCTAAGCTACTGATATTCAACAAATATTTGACAGACCAGTGCATCACAGCTGTGAATGAATGACTGCTGTATGTATGTTCTCCCTTTTTCCAAACAAAAGTAGTTTAATTGTGATGTTGGGGCAGATAAATTATCTTTTTGTTTAAAGGTCCCTGAAACATAAGGAGCCTTATCTGGACCTGAAGAGGACTGCACAACACCCAAATATTCTGGACGTGAAGTCTCCAGACTGGATACAGAAGTCTCCCTTGAGGAAAGGGTGAGTGATGAAAGAAAAGTGTATATGGACGTTAGGTAGTTACAGAGATGGGCTGTGGCTGATACTACTTAGATGCCAACTTAGTCTCTATTCTCTTTGTTCTGCTAACAGAGCCCAAGCTTTGTTCAGAGAGGCAATGTACTCAGCTAAAACGCTGTATTTCTCAGTTTCCATTGCAGCTAAGGGTGATGCACTTCTGGCCAAAGAAATACAAGCAAAAATTGCTAAATGGAACCTCTAAGAAAGAGCTTTAAAATGAAACAGAAAAGCTCTCTAGCTCTCTCCATTTTGCCCTCTGCCCCCTTTCTTCTCCCTGCTTGGAGGTGGAATAGCAATCTTGCAACCTCAAAGTAACAGACATTAAAACCAGAAGCTCAGGATGACTGACTCATAAGATGAGTCTTCTGGCATCATAGAGCTGTTCCTTGACTAACTGTGACATGAATAAAACAAAATTTTTATTAGGTAAAACTATTATAGGCTGGTTTTTCTTTCTTTTTTTAGGATTAAAACAATTACAATTAACATACTATCTACCCTCTTAGCAAATATTTAAGTATACAATATTAATTATAGGTAATATGCTATACAGTAGATCTCTAGGACTTGTTCATCATGTAAAAGTGAAACTGTATCTTTTGACTAATACCTCCCTGTTTCCTCTACTCCCCATCTCCTGGCAAGCACCATTATACTCTCTGCTTCTATGAGTCTATTTTATATTCCTCATATAAATAGTATCATATACTATTGTGTCCTTCTGTGTCTGGCTTATTTCACTTAGCATATTGTCCCCCAGGTTCATCCAAGTTGTCAAAAGTGGCCAGGTTTCCTTCTTTTATTAAGGTTGAATAAAATTCCACTGTATGTGCATGACAAATTTTCTTTATCCATTCATCTGCAGATGAACACTTCAGTTGCATCCATGTCTTGGCTACTATGAATAATGCTGCAGTGAACATGAAAGTGCAGCTATCTCTTCAAGATTTGATTTAAATTTCTTTGGATTTATATCCTTAGTGGGGCTACTGAATCATATGGTAGTTCTCTATTAATTTTTGAGGAGCTTCCACACTGTTTTCCATAGTAGCTGCACCAAGGTACAGGCCCACAACAGTACACAAGGGCTCTCTTTTCTCCACATCCTTAACAAGACTTGTTACCTTTTGATTTTTTGATAAGAGCCATCCTAATAGGTGTGAGGCGATACTTCATTGTGATTTTGATGCGCATTTCCCGGATGATTAGTGATGATGATCACTTTACATGCACCTGTTGGCTATTTTTATGTCTCTGAAGAAATGTCTATTCAGTTCCTTTGCCCATTTTTAAATTGGGTTGTTTTTTTTTTTTTGCTATTGAGTTGCAGGAGGTCCTTACATGTTTTGGATATTAATCTCTCATCAGCAATTGTGTACAACTCTACACTTTTATTCCCCAACCCACATACTATGTTACTGGTATCAGAATTTCTTTTTATATTGTATCTCTATTAACAAATTTCTGTAGTTGTAGTTATTCATAATATCTTGTCTTTACCTTTTATACTGCATTAAAAGTGATTTACATACCACCATTAGGTTATTCCATTGGTCTATATTTGCCTATATATTTACCTTCACAGTGAGATTTACACTTTCATATGCTTTAATTTTGTTGTTCAGTGTTCTTTCATTTCAACTTGAAGAGCTCCCTTTAGCATGTCTTAAAAGGCAGATCTAGTTTTGACGAACTCCTTCAGTTTTTGTCTGGGAAAGTCTTTTTCCTTAATTTCTTTCTTTCTTTTTTTCTTTTCCTTTTTTTTTTTTTTTGCGGTACGCGGGCCTCTCACTGTTGTGGCCTCTCCCATTGCAGAGCACAGGCTCCGGACGCACAGGCTCAGTGGCCATGGCTCATGGGCCCAGCCGCTCCACGGCATGTGGGATCTTCCCGGACCGGGGCACGAAGCCGTGTCCCCTGCATCGGCAGGCAGACCCTCAACCACTGTGCCACCAGGGAAGCCCCCCATGGTCTCTTTAACTTCTCTTTACACCACCATAGTAGCTTTGCAATTAAAACCTTCAATTTAGAACCAGTTTCTAAATACTTGCAATATTCTGGGGTCTAAGTCAGGGGTCATTAAACTACAAAACTACCGGGCTGGTTGTTCACTTTGTAAATAGTTTTACAGTAAAACATTTACTGGAACACAGCCACACCTATTCATTTTCAAACTGTCCACAGACAGTTCATACTAAAGTGGCAGAGTTATGACAGAGACCAGAGGGCCTACCAAGTCTTATTTACCTTTTGGTCCTTTAAGAAAAGTTTGCCATCCTTCATCTAAATAGCAACATTTAAGTGAGTTTAACCACAGTTTCTGGGAGATAGTTCAAAGTTTTAGTTGTTTCTAAATCAAGTTTTAGAGAAATGATACTCCTGTTGGTTTCATCACACTCCAGCCTCATGCTATTCTTAGAAACACATACTTTTGTTTTTAAAGTACATTTAAGTGGGTGTAAGAATTTTTCAATATTGCCAAAAATACTGAAAATATATAATTAGTAACGGAGGGAAAGTTTTGGGTATCTACACATGGAATTTAGAGATTATCCCAATTATCAGGTGACATCTCTATTTTCTGATTGGGAAACATAAAGAACATACTTTATTTCATTGCTTCTAAGACAGATTTCTTAAAATTTTAACTTCTTGATGTTGAGATATATTTTATAACCTATGGCATTACACACTCACTGTTAGCCAAGTGGCAATCATGACAAAGTAACATGAAAAATTTGTACTGACACTTTCTGGTAAGATCAAGAAAACATCAGAATCTGTGTAACTTAGATTCCATGTATATAGTAAATAAGAGGAGAAAGAAAGAATGGCAAGAGCAGGAAGAATATTCTGAGGTAACAGGATAAAAATAACTGATGTATGTTGTGGAAACACTACCAGTTTTTAAAAAACGATCTAAATGTAAGAATCATAAAAAAAGCTCATGCATATGCAATTTGCTCTTGCAGCTACTTGAATGAAGGTTACAAGTATTACAGAACTAATACTTCTTTCAATCCATTCTGATGTGTTCAGAGAAAGCAACAACTGTTCTTCAAATTCTACAGAAGAACTTAATCTAACTTCTTTAGTCTGTGAAATGGCAAAACAGCTTGGACAAAGAAAACGTAAGCTCATTTTTTAAAGTTGGGGGAATTTCTTGGTATGATGTTGAAAGAAATGTTACTTCTGTACTATTCCTGACACAAAGAAATAACCTGAATTGAATCATGAGGAAACATCAGACAAATCCAAATTTTCACATACTACAACAGAAAGTTTTCATTTTTGTCTTGGGTAACAAGGGGATTACGGAGACAACGGATAAAATCTGAATTAGGACTGTAGTTAGATAACAGTATTGTAAAAATGTTATTTAATTTCCTGACTTTCCTGACTTGATAATTGTACAGTGGTAATGTAGAGTTTTAGTAGATAGACACAGAAGCAAATAGGGGTAAAGGAGCACTGTGACATCATTTCCATACCTTTTTCTTCAATGATTCAGAAAAAATTAATTATATATTTATGTATGCAAATATGTATATACAAATACAAGCAAAGAAAGACAATGATAAAGCAAATAAGAAATAAAGTATTAACAATTGGGAAATCTGAGTAAAGTGTATATGGGAGTTCTTTGTACTATTACTGTAATTTTTCTGTAAATTTAAAATTACTTCAAAATAAAAAGTTAAAAATTGACACAATTTTAAGAAATAAAGTGTGATATGTTCAATACAAAATACTGAACAGTCAACCCATAGAGATTAGCTTATGTATTTATTTTAAATTTCTTTTTATGGTAAATTTTGCTTTCCAGAATTAATTTGAAGCAAATTCCATGTATACAATTCTAGAAATAATTCAGTAAAAAATAAAATAACCCTAAGGCTAATATCATATCTATAGAAATTAACATATGAATTTATTCCTAAGTGAGAAATACACTGAAAATACCTGCCAAAATAAGCAGTTCAGCAGTAGCTGTATTACTTATCCCGTCAGATTCTAAAAGAAGTTTTACTGAATGTTTCAAAGGTCATTAGCATAAAAATGTTTGAAATCTGTCGCACAGCAATTATTGCTAAATCTATCCTTCCAGCTTGGATAGAAATAATGACTATAGTAAAAAAAAAAGTTAATATTGCTATTTCCTTGTGTCTCAACACATATTTTAATACTGTAATCCATGTTCCTAAAGCCAAATCTGCTCCCACAGTACCAGAAAGAAAAGTTTGAATGCTGTGCATTTATTTTAAGACAGCATCAAAATATCAACTGCCCGCTGAATACACAGGTAAGTTATTTCTTCTTTCCTTTAAACATTACTACCAACTCAGTATAGTAGAATTCAGCATGTAGAATCCTTAATTTTGGAAATTAAGAAAAAAGTAATTTATCTTCATTTGTGGGCTAACAATTATTTTGAGGCAACAAAAATTTTTAATTAGAAAATTGTTAGACCTCAGAAAATTCAGGGAAATGAAAGACCTTGAAGACTGTGACTACAAGAAAAAGGGAAATTAAATAGGGACTTTTCATTGTTAACGATCAGTAACTGCTTCCCCATGTCTCATGCATCAACTAAATGTAAACAAGAAAATCTTTCTAATGAAAACAGAAATAAAAGCTGTAAAAGTTAAGAATTCTAAGATAGTAAATTATTATTCTCATAGTCTGAGAGATTTTATGTTGAATGCTCTTAATCCCACACATCACTAAGGATGAAGCAATAGAAGTGTTAATTTCAAAGTTATCTTTTGTAAAGGATGGCACTAAGATAAGAATGTCAACAGTGAGATTATAAACTGATTAATAAGCTAGGTATTTATTTCTTTAAAGTCAGATTTAGCATCATTTGGGTTTTTTAAACTTTAAAATATACTTAACACAAAATATTTCTTCTATTTCTTTTCTACTGCCTAAATAATAGCGTTAGCCCAAACCAATTCTAAAATAAAATTGCTTTAAAAAAAAAAAAACCTGGAAATATCTAACAGATAGAATGTAAAAATCTAAGTGGACATTAATAAAAAACAAAACATATAAAACAACTATAGTTTAATTCAATAGTAACAAAAGCATAAAAGAATCAAATAACATTGGGAATCTAAACCTTCTTTAAGAAGGGACATAGTTGTATTTCAGTTATTTTCTACTTAACACTAACATATATTTAATATAAGAAAGGGTACTTCAATTACAGCTATATGTTCATTTTGTCTTTAAATAGAGATTAAGGGGAAAGTTTAAATATTTTTGTAGTGGGAAAACACAACATTGGTTTCATTATTAAATATTCATCCCCACTAAAAAAAAGACACAATGAACCAGTAAAAGCACTTCTTAGTTATACTAGATAAGTGCCTGACCTAAGGGTTCAGAATTACATTTCATTAGTACTTGAAACTTTTTTTAAAACCAAGAATTAAGAATTTGATTCGTTAAATCTCTTTATCTCAGTAATAGTTTGAACGCATTTTTTTTGTTTTTACAATAAACAAATCAACTGCCACATATTCTGGCCTTGTCAAAGTCACAACTGATCAGAAATCTATTATTCTTCTTCATAAACAGTTAAAATTATGGTTATGACTTTTCTCTCAACAGTTTGCAAACACTATTTTACAGGTAATTCATATAGAACCAGAGCATTATCACTTACGTCATCACTCTGCTGGGCTTCCTGCATTACAAATTCTCGGACCATGGAAGGACTAAACTCTACTAGATAAGAAAATATATCTGTAGCAGCTGATCTGACTTGCAAATCATCCATGCCCTGATAAAAGGAAAATCAGGTTACTTAGAGACTGTGAACAAAAGTTATGCCTGCGTTCCCCCTTTTTCTCCCAAATCTATGCCAAACAAATTTTTGGATTTAGACATGGTACTGGAATCAAAACATATAATCTCTCCCATCCTTTTCTTTTACAAATATTAAAAACTTTAGGCAGCTCAATGATTAGTTTCTGCCAGTTTTTGTCTTTACCACCACAAAAATAAATATTCAGAGAATTTAAATATAAGAATCAGCACAGGATTATAAAGCACTGCTTTACAAATGCTGCAAAAAAATTTGGGGGGTGGGAGGCAGGATTCTTGATTTAAATATATGCAAAAATATGAATGAGGTCTCCTAGTTAAGGCTTTAAAACTTTCCAGAAGCTGTCTTTGGTCCTGTTTGCCAGTTAGGCCTTAGTAACTGATTCTCCCTTTTATGACTCTCCTAATAGAGGATGATTTTGAAAACAATCTGGGTATTTTCACTCTTTTCCGTAACTTAGTTTTCTAAGGTAGTGATTTTGAATGCTTTTTCCCTATCAGTACATGAAGGATATATGATTCAAAGATAAAAATCTCCAGGTGATTCTGAAAACATTCCCTAACTTAGCAGTTCTCAAAGTGTGGCCCAGGGAACCCTGGAGAGGGGTCTCACACACTGAAAAGTGGGGTTATAACACCCTTTTCAAAATTGCATGAGATTAAAACTATTTTCATAATATTATTTATTATGAAAATAAATATTAAGGCATTACTGGCCTTTTCCACTCCCAGTCTATCACAAGTATAGTGGGGTTTTCCAGAGGCTACAAGATGTAATATCGTTAACAGATTAAATGCAGACGCTGCTATGAGAACCTAGCTATCTTTTATTACGCCAGGCATCAAAGGGATTGGCAAAAAATGTGAAACAATGCCACTTGTCTCACTAAAATTTTTTTGTTTTGGAAAAGTTATTTTTTCATGAAAGTTATATTAGTTATCTTAACATATAATGGGTTATTATCATTTTAAAATGAATTAATAAGTACTTAAAATTTTCTCAGTTTTAATTTTTCATATAATAAATGCCAGTGGATAAAGCTCATATAAACAAAAGTAGGAGAGAGAATCACTCCCTTAACCCCATATTGTAGCACGAGCCCCCTTGGTCCAGTCTGCCCTTCTCCCATTCACTGGTCTAAAAAAGGAAAGGTATTTTATTAGTTTCTATGAAACATACTTAATTTTGTTATAGAAGAGATAACAGTCTCGTAAAACCATGTGGGATTTTTATTTACTTGAAGCCATATTATATGAATCATATGTTAATATTACAAATTTAAGTTAATAAAAATCTGAAGAGGTTTTATGACTCACTACCAAATGAATCATAATCTAAAATTACAAAATTCAATATGCATTACTATAAAAAATTATTTCCCATCCACAATATAAATCTATTACAAATTCACAATTTCAAAAACATGAAAAGAAGCTATATAATTACCATTACAATTTCAAGAGCAGGAAGAATCCCCAACTTTGCCAAAGTTTTGAAAAATGCATCCCTGTTTTGAGGTTGTAATGTCTGAGAAAATGCACAAAATTCCTTGAAAAAATTAACCTGTAATGTTAGAAAGAATAGTGAGAAGTTGACACACATTAAAAGTAACTCTGAGGCAAACTGTAATGTGATCTACCACAGTGTGGAATTAACCTTCTCAGGGACCTAGAGTTTTTAGGGTATCCTGGCTCCTCAAAAGCTAAAGAACATAGAAACCATGCTATAATAAATGGTGGCTGGGTTTTCAGGGAACACTCATAAAGCACAATTCAATTTTTAAGAATTGTAAGGAACATTAGAGATTTCCTAGAATAAAGGGCTAATTTTATAAATGAGAAAACTGAGAAATAACTATACCAAAGATGACGTGGCTGATTTTAAGTCAGCAATCTTTCATTACTTCTTTAGTATCTGATTATAAGGTTTGAAAAACTGGCAAACTGCTGGTACACAGCAATCACCATTCTCTTTCCCCAGAGCATGGTTTATATCTCAAAAAAGTGATTACCAACACATTCTAAAGAAGAAAAACACTTCCAAGAACCAATTCATCATTCGTTTATTCAAGGATTCTCCCTACCTCTTGTTTAACAAAACAAAAAAAGCATCTCAATAATGTATCTACAACCATAAAAATGTGTGAGTTTGTACTTCTGTCCTAACATAAACCACGTCTTGATCTTGTAATTTATAAGGCACATATTCCCTCACTGGGAGGAATAAAACCACGTCAAAATATCTCTAAAAACTTCTATGATATACAAAACAGTAAGTTTTAGAAACTTTGCAAATAATCATTTCATAGTATAATTTAAACACAGGTGACCCTTGAACAATACAGGGGTTGGAGTGCCCACCCTCCACTAAGTCAAAAACCTGTGTGTAACTCTATAGTAGGCCCTCCATATCTATGGTTCCGCATGCAACCTTGGACCATGTAGTTCTGTAGTATTTACTATTGAAAAAAATCTGTGTCTAAGTGGAACCTGCAGTTCAAACCCACATTGCTCAAGGGTCATCTGTTTATATCTTTCATACTAATTACAAAAATTTTTCTCTTAAATTAACAATTTCAATATTAAAAGCTGTGTATGCCAAAAGAGTAAGTGCTCTTTAAGGGTGTGAATTTCAGTAATAAATAACTTACCAATTCACGTCGTTTATCATCATCCGTGGCCTCATCTGTTAATTGTGCAAAAACTTCAGACAAAAACTTTTCATCTTCCTACAATGAGAAAAAATAATTACTATGAATTTAATAAAAGTATAAAGTTATACTCATTTATATGATTTCACAAACTATAATAAAAATAGCTGAAAACCTAAGAGCAATTCCATTACAAAACCTAAAATTCCAGGTATATTCATATTATAATTTTCAAAACTTGACTACACCATTCAATATTAGTTAGACATATTAATACCTTGTTTAATCAGAAACCTCAACTATAAAGAACTCTTTGAAAAATAAAAAATAGATGTTCAAGAGGTCATGCATGAAAACTCTATTTACCTTAACCGAGAGCCTCTCTAGCTCCCTTTCAGGGTCTATTTATTTACGCTTAATTTAAACGTAATTCAAACAAGTCTGAAGATCTCATTAGTCCACAGTGGATTAGAAAAATGAGAGTTACAAACACGGCAATAAAGAACACTGAATTCTGGCAGTGATAAGATTATAAAGGTTAACTGTGATTATCTTTTGGTGATGGATTATGAGTGATTTTCTTTTTTGCTCATCTGTATTTTCCAATTTTCTATAATAAATATGGACAATTAAATTACAAAGGAAAAACTGACATGAATATTGAAATTTACTTTAGAGATTTCCATCAAAGTGTGCTGAAAGAAAGTTATGCTTTTAAGTTTCAATAATCTTCAAAATTCATTTTTATGAAATATAATTTGAATACTTTTAAGTAATTAAAATAGCATAACCTAAAAATATTTGTAATAGTGATAACTGCATGGTTGATAATAAAATCAAAGCATGACATATAAAGGATATAGCTAATATACCTGCCCTTTCTCTTACTGTGAATCATCCATGAAGTGGTATCAATCCCTTAAAGCCTTTCTGAAATAAGGTAGAGCACATATGAAAAAACGAATGAAAAGCACTAGTTATGGTCATGGAAAATATAACATGCTCTCCCGCTAAACATCCTTTGGAGCTATTCAAAGACACATCACTAACAGATAACACCTTTTTTGACTCAGAATAGTGTTCGTTTTGTTATTTAGTTGACTCCTTTTGGATCTTATGTATGGAGGCCTGAATCATCTATCTACCTTCTGAGAGAGTTCAACTACATAAATAATCTTTTACTTATCCCTCAAATCACTTTTTCATCTCAGTATTTTAGGTTTTGTTGGATAAGCACATATTTACCTCAACTTATACCTTTTATAAATTTTTATCTTCCTGCACCTCTCCCAGATTAAATCTTCCTTTCCTGTCTAAAGATTTTTAACTTTTTCAGAATCTTTTCATAGGAAAATAGTTCCAGTTCTTTGATAAATGCAATTTCCCATTTAAATTCTTCTTATATGATTCATTATTTGTTTGCTGATGGCTAGAACTGCATAAAGTATTACAGAAGCAATTTCAAGTATTACAGTCTGCTAGGAGAATGCTTTCCGATTCCTAGTATATTTCTTTTCTGATCTCTAACATTATTTTTGATATTATTCTACACAAGCACTCTGTTCCAATGTATTAAGGGAGCGATGTTAGGTAGCTTAAAGCCTATCATAGATATAGCTGGAAAATTTCCCCTAAATCCCTGGTTCTTCAAGTAATTAGTTTCTTTAGATCACTTTAGTTTTTCTTTTCTATTTCATTTTAAGAGCTTTTAATAAATCATAATTATTTTAAGTCATATTGTGCATGTTTACTATTTTGGATAACAAAACCTTAAAGGGAAAAGATGAGCTCCTCCTAAAAAGTCTGAAATCGAACTTTTTTCTTTGTGATGATGTAAAAATGGGCACACACACAAAACCAAAATCCCAAACCTAGGACCCATGCAACATTAAAAATTCTAAAAGGATCACGTAGACACAGAAATTTAGAATTAGATGAGGCTTTAACAGAGTACCTAGAGATTGCCTAGTCTAATTTTAAAAGTCCATCCCAAAGAATGGATTTATCAGAAGCTAGCTAGTGATAAAGATGGATTTAGAATCCTGGTCTCCTGCATAATGAAGTTCTGTCACTCCCACAACAGAAAATATACAGGATAGATTCCTAAGTAGGAATCAAACCAAAGCAAAATATACACACAAACTAGAATGGGCCAAGTCCAGTATGACAAAATTTAATACGTTAAATCCTACACTTGAGTCCAAAAACCTCTAAAACAAAACCATATTATTGCAAAGTTGTTTTCTTAATGGTGTTGGAAGATTTTACATATTAAATTAATGGGATGAAAGGTTAGAAAGTTCAGTGCTGAAATCTTGCAAAATATATCAAAAAAGAACTAAACCACTGATCCCACTGGGTTTGTTTTTCATCCAACTCTTATCTATGGAATAGTGAAAATTTATGTAACATGCTAAAATGTCAACATTTGAGATACCTGTCCTTAATCATTTCTAGTGCAGGGAGAAGTTAAAACTTCTTGTTCTGAAAAGGATCTTAACTCTATAGCTGTCTATGTGGAAATAACCTCAATTTACTGGCTTTTTGGAATTTAATTTATAAAACATTTTAAAGTATATTTCTCAATTCTGGACACAAGGGATTTTGACCTGTAATTAGGTAGAAAATTCAGGTTAACTAAAATCTTATGTCCCTATCATGGTTACGATAATCTCAACATGTATTAGAGTATATACTAGGAGCCAGTGACCATCCTAAGTGCTTTCATATAATTTCTCAGTTAATTAACCTAATTTAGGTTAGGAGTTATCTATGTAGTTTTATACTACCTCATTTTGGTCGAGTTAGATAAAATTCTTACATTTTTACTTGCATTACATGCATTAGCCAGATGGGTATCTGGAAACATCTAATGCCTGCAGGGAAATCTCAGAGATGGGCTTTAGGAAATGAGCCTTTAGAAGCCAATGGCCATAATCTTGCTTTCTCCTCACACACTGTTGAAAACAGAATTCAGCATCACGGCTGACACGTAAGAGATAACGAAGTGGTAAACCTTAAGTAAACAACAGGTAGCTCACGATATCTGGCTATTTCATAAAATGCCTTTCATGGACCAGAAATGAGTAAAACTTGGTTTATATAAGTATAACTTTCACAAATAGACCTATGACAGAATGTATAAAATGACATAGAAAGTTATAAATATTTACAGATTAGTTTGCATAATTTATTTTCAAAACATAAAAAGCATTATGATTTACTATTATGGATTTGGCAACTCTTCTGAAGTCAAAAGCAGTCATTTGAAAGCTACACTTGAGCTTCTGTTACTGGGTCCTTTATATCAACTACATTGACTATGGGCTTATTTCCAGTCTCCTGAGACTGTAACTTTTTCTGTCAGCAAGTGAAATGGCACCCTGAATTGTACAGTATGGTTTTAAAAAGTGGGTCCCATGTATTATAAATGGAACCTAATGTGTAAGTCCAACTTGCCTCACACTTATTACTGTGGAATAATGAAAAACTGCCTGGTGAAAGAATTATCTGGGAAGTAAATCCTATACAAAAGTAAAGTTATAATGGTGAATAATGGTTGGAAGTATCATGAAATGGAATCTCATAGGTAAGTACTGAGACAGACATTCTTAACTTTTTGGTCTCAGGACTCCTTCAAACACTTAAAAACTACTGAGGACCCCAAAGAGCTTTTATTATGTGGGTTATGTTTATCAGTATTTACCATAATTAAAACTGAGATGCTTAAAAACATTAATTTTCATTAAAAAATAAGCTATTATGTTTGTATAAATATTTTTTTATGAGGAACAACTGTATCATCCAAAATCATAAACATTTAGAAAGAAGAGTGGCCTTGTTTTACATTTTTGCAAATCTCTTTAATGTTTGGCTTAACAGAAGACAGCTAGATTCTCACATCTCCTTCAGCATTCAATCCGTTGTGATATGTTGTTTTTTTTGTTTTTTTGCGGTATGTGGGCCTCTCATAGTTGTGGCCTCTCCCATTGTGGAGCACAGGCTCCGGACACGCAGGCTCAGCGGCCATGGCTCATGGGCCCAGCCGCTCCGCGGCATGTGGGATCCTCCCGGACCGGGGCACGAACCCGTGTCCCCTGCATCGGCAGGCGGACTCTCAACCACTGCGCCACCAGGGAAGCCCAATATGTTGTTTTGGTTGAAGTACATGAAGAAAATACAGCCTCACGGTGACAGAAAGTTGGAAAAGGAAAAACTTCACAGACTTCTCTGAAACGGCTTCAGGTACTCCCAGGGGTCCACAGACATTACTTGAGAACCACTAACTACACTAAGTACTATAGTAGCAGCTCAATAAACTTAGTGACTGATGTGTAAATAACAAAGGCAGTTATGCAGGAAACTGTTAGTATACTATCACAAGTAAAGCAAAATCTTCAAAATCATGCTTACCAAACTGTTAGGGTATAAAGGATTAACATGATATAAACATGGTATAAGACTCCTACTTTACAACTCAAGGAGAGAGAATAAAATCAACTTCTATAGCAAATAATCTATCATTTACCGAAAATTAATGAATGTTTCTCAATTCTGGCTGCACATCTGAATTATTTCGGAAGCTTTAAGCACACACACTCACGCATATCCCCAATAATAACTAGGTCTCACAAAATGGAATAAAAAATATTAAAAAAAACAGCTGCCTGTTTCGGATGATGAAAAAGTTCTGGAAATGGATAGTGGTGATGGCTGCATAACACTGTGAATGTACTTAATGCTATGAACTGTACACTTAAAAATTGTTAAAATTTTGAATTTTAGGTCATGTATGCTCTACCACAAGTTTTTAAAAACAAAAAGTTAAAAAAAAAACCCAGCTGCATGATAGGACATTTAGAAATATAAAAGGTCACATTGAGAAATGATTCTTCTTCAGAAAACTATGAGATAAAGCCCTGTTTTCTATGCTTGATAGTACAATTAAAGTAAACAAAAGAAATCTTTCAAAACGAAGGAATGAACACCAGCTTACCTATTAAGGGGACTAAATATCTGAAAACAAAATTATGAAGAACACCTCAGTTTACTTACCTGCAACATGCTGACTATTTCAACTTTGTTGAAGAAAATAAAAGATGTAAGAGTAGAAAGAAAATTCTCTTCAAAAACTGATGGTGTAGGCAAAATTATGTCCTGAATGTACTGTACCCTGTAAGTCTGATGTATTTTTTGCCTTAGTTCAGAGTCTGTTATTGGTATAACTTCCTTAAACTTTGCAGTTTTGGTCAAGAATTCTCTGTGCCTTTTTGGCTGAGCCAAAGCAGGGTCATATTCAAGGCATCCCACGACATCCATGATACACTCATCAGAAAACATTACCTCAAACAGAGTTGCCTTATTTAGGAATAAGATTCCTCTAATAATTTCATACAAATGGTGTAAGCCTTCAGTGTTTTCTAGGTTCTCACAAGCTTGGAACAGCTGCAGTAGTTTTTTAATATAGCCTTCATTTTCCAAGGCCAGAGCCAGCTTTTCCCTACGGATAGGTGAGGAGAGAACTGAGGTAACTAAGTCAGCAATCTCTTCAAGTTTATTGAGTTCACATGTGGGCAGGTCAATCAGATGACTGGTTTCAGGCATTTCTTCAAATCGTTCTTCTTCTGATTCATCAATGAGGTCCTGTGTGACTTCCACTGATGGATCCTTACCTTGAACCTAAAAATATCCAAGTACAGCTGGTTACCTTAAAATACAAAAGAATTCAGAATTTTGGGAATCAAATCACTGATCATTCAATTTTTAAAAAAAAATAAATTTCTTTTCTTGGGCCACGACTCACAGCATGTGGGATCCTAGTTCCCGACCAGGGATTGAACCCCTGCCCCCACTAGACTGCTGGAAGTCCCCTGACTAGTGAATTTAAGTAAAAATCAATACTTTCAAGGAATCAATACTAATAGTCATTGTTAATTAAAAGTGAAGTCTAGAGGGGGAAAATACAACTAGTTTAGAGTCAGTTATTTGAGTCTTAAGTTACTGACTGCAGATGGTTTCACCTCTAAATTTCCCAACTTACAACTTGAGATTAACTCTGATCCCTAATAACCTGAATATTTCAGCTAACGTTATGTTGTTTGATATTAAATTATGTAATAACCACTTGCAGTTGTTTATTAAATTCACTCTACCTAGTAGAGTGTATTTTGCAGAAAGTAACTCTCTTCCGTTGGTCCCCCAAAATTACTATGTATGACAAAGCACCATCACACTGGCTAACAAGGACACTACTGAGTTCAAACCAAATTAAAACCCAACTCCCTGTATATTCAAGAGTAAGAAAATATGATTTCCTCAAAATACTTTCGAAATTCACTTTTGGAAAAGTATTTGCTTTTGCTCTGAGCCTGAAGCTGATAAATAGACTAATAAATAAAGTCTATTCTTTTAAAAACTGGCATTCATTTAACATCTGTGATAAAGCCTTCAAGTATTATCTAGATAAAAATCACAACATAATGAATAAAGAACTGCTTTATGATTCAGTCTGACTACTTTATGATTCAAGAAAAGCATGGCTAACAAATTTTCTATAATGAATTACTCTAACAAAAAATGTTTAGAACTTTACTTTTCATAAATTTTTCTAATTCATAATCCAAGAGTGCAATCATCCTCTCTTCTCCACCTTAAAACATCTCGAATATCCTAAGCAGAAAAAGTTCCACAAATTTCCAAATCCACCAAAGCAACATATGAAAAAAGACCTAAGAACTCAGAGAAAAAAGTAGACGGATATACTGATGCATACAAGATACTTTTTTTCCCTAGAGGAATGAGAGTATTTCTTTTACTTCTGAGTTCTCAACAGAGTAGCTGAGCTTAGGGAGGATGACACATAAATATAAGAGAAAATATAAGTAACAAGGTCATAAGAACAGTTCAGATAAAATGCCTTGGAAACTCAGAGGAGGGAAATTCCAGCTCTTGGGGTGTGGGTGAGCAGAGAACACAAGGAAGGAATCATAAAAGCAGTGGCATTTCATAAAAAGGAATGAAACTGGGTCATTTGTAGAGTCGTGGATGGATCTAGAGACTGTCATACAGAGTGAAGTAAGTCAGAAAGAGAAAAATAAATATCGTATATTAATGCATATATGTGGAATCTAGAAAAATGGTACAGATGAACCAGTTTGCAGGGCAGAAACAGAAACACAGATGTAGAGAACAAACGTATGGACCCCAAGGGGGGAAAGTGGCGGGGGCGGTGGTGGTGGGATGAACTGGGAGATTGGGATTGACATGTATACAGTAATATGTATAGAATAGATAACTAATAAGAACCTGCTGTATAAAAAAATAAATAAAATAAAATTCAAAAAAAGAAAAAAAAACAGTGGCATCTGAGATTTTAAGTGGACCTTCAAAGATAGGTAAGATTCTGAGGGGAGATAAAGGTACCCAAAGTGCAAAGGTAAGAGCACAGAGCCAGAGAAATGGAAATATGTGACATGCATATGGCAAACAGCAAAAATGGAAATGTAGACTCTAACCAGATCATGAAAAGTCAAGCTAAAAGACCTGCATTACTGTTCAGGGAAGTGAATGTGTAGCACTGTCCTTTAGAGAATTAACCTGGCATCAGCTGCATGAGACAAATTTGAAAATATAGATAAATTAGGGTGTTATTCCAAAGGCTACATGAACAACTGAATTTGGATAGTGATGTTGGGACAGATATGGGATAGCTACAAAACAGAGAAGGAAACACAATGACCCTATAGTTTTAAACCCATCATTGGGAAGATTATGGCTTCTTTAACAAAAGCTGGGAATGTGGGAGAGGAATGCTAGGAAGAGTTCAGTTTTATTAAGTTTGAGTTGTTTGAATATCCAGCTGGCAATTCAATCTGTGGGCCTACTACTCTGGAAAAAGAATAGGACAGAAGATAGAGATTTGGCATTAGGGTAACAGTTAAAGCCAGAAGACTCTGACACTAATCAGAGAAAAGAGAAAACGTAGTGTGAGGGGAAGGAAGAAGAATCAGAGGTTACAAAGAACAAATAAGAGGAAAACAGGAGTTAACTTACACTTCAAATGAACATAGTTTGCATATGTTTAAGAATAAAAGCACAGCTCCAGAACCATGCATGTAACCACTAGGTTACAACATGTTTATTTCTTTGTTATCTAGTATTACCCCTTACAAGCTTCCTGGATTCATCCTGAACGTAACCCTGACTGATCTAATCTGTCAACATCACATAAACCCAAGTGTCTACCTGGATGACAATAGTGCTGTCCACCAGATATTTCTGGTTCTCTCCCTCTTGTGGCACGTGAGTTCATTGCTTCCATGAAGTTACATGTAGCTGTGTGACTTGCTTTGGCCAATAAAAGTGCCATGTATAACTTCTGGGAAGAGCTTTCAAAAACCAGTGCTCTGATTTGCCACCTTTCTTTCCCACTTTGCAATAATCATGGAAGTATTAAAATGAATTCTCTATCAACTTGGGTCCCTGAGAGGCTCTGTTAAGCACAGCCCTTTCCTCTCCAACACTGGTCAAACAGCATTAAGGGGGCTTCCCTGGGTGCAGTGGTTAAGAATCCACCTGCCAATGCAGGGGACATGGGTTCGAGCCCTGGTTCGGGAAGATCCCACATGCCGCGGAGAAACTAAGCCCGTGCACCACAACTACTGAGCCTGCGCTCTAGAGCCCACGAGTCACAATTACTGAGCCCACGCGCCACAATTACTGAAGCCTGTGCACCTAAAGCCCATGCTCTGCAACGAGAAGCCACTGCAGTGAGAAGCCTGCGCACTGAAACCAAGAGTAGCCCCCGCTCACTGCAGCTAGAGAAAGCCCCCGTGCAGCAACGAAGACCCAACGCAGCCAAAAATAAATAATTTAAAAGAAAACAGCATTAAGGAATAAACCAAACTTTTGTTGTGATAAGGTTCATGGTAAGTCCACACTATCAGTAGGCTTCTCGATGAAAATTTCTCTTTTCCACACTCCTATCCTAGTCCCTTATAGCTACTGCTTTAATTTTTTTCCCTTTTCAAGGGTCAAACACTATTACTTTCCCCTTTAAATCTCATAAGAGAGAACTTTGTCCCTTTGGGAAAAAAAGAGGCCATCAGTACTCAACTTCCTCCAACATTCTTCTTTTCCATCTCACAACTTATCTTCATTCAATTCCTTTATCTGTTTAAAAGAAAACGTCTCTACCATTTTCTGAGGTTAGAACTTCCATATGTACTTCTGATTTTATGCTTTCTAAGAGCTCAATATGTATCAATTATCTTAGCTCTTTTTTAAAAAATTAATTAATTTGGTTGTGCTGGGTTTTAGTTGCCAGCAGGTAGGCTCCTTAGTTGTGGCTTGCTAGCTCCTTAGTTGTGGCATGTGGGCTCCTTAGTTGTGGCACGCGAACTCTTAGTTGCAGCATGCATGTGGGATCTAGTTCCCTAACCAGGGATCGAACCCAGGCCCCCTGCACTGGGAGTGCAGAGTCTTAACCACTGTGCCACCAGGGAAGTCCCTTAGCCCTTGTTTTTGTAATTTCTCTCCCCACAATGATTCTTTTGTTCTGTCATTCACCATTCCCCTTAAGATACTTATTGCTCTTTGAGCTGTCAATCTTTTTCAGAGAGGAGTTCTATTTTCTTATTATAAGGGGTTAAGAAATGACAAAGAAACAGGCTTTTTATTGAAATTGTTCTTTCAAAGGTCAGCAATGACCTCCCAGAATTAAAAAGTAAAACACAACGTATGGTTCTGTTGAATACAACACAGTAGCTGGGAGCAATAAACTAAATGTATACTCAGCAACATGGCTAGATCTTAAAAGTACAGTACTGAGTTGTGCAGTAAAAAATTAACCTTGCTAGACCAGCAGAGTGGCCAAACCTAACATTGCTTTCAAAGGCGGAAATGTTTGCGTAAAAATCAATGACAAATGGGGAGGAGAAATGGTAACAGAGGGCAAAGGAATAAATAAATAGGTAATGTAATGAAGGAAATCTAATATTAACACTGGTGCCTTACAAAAAGCTCAGAGTAAGAGACGATATTCTCTTAGCTCAATTGTAACAGATGCCTGGAAGGGTGAAGCCATATGTTTCCCAAGTCTACCACTGCTCCTGGGACTCAACAAGGTCGAATGGAAGTTTGTAAGTCTACTTGATAGAGCTGACACCACCCTGGGAGACACTGTCATACAATATGATGAACTGGACCAATTATTAATGACTGAGTGGGATTCTTATAATGTGCCAGTATCTACTGACTCTTACTTTTTTCAGGTTACATCTACTACCATACCGCAATATGGTATAACATTGCCACTGTTGATCCAACTACCTCATGTACATAAGCCTTATGATGATATTATCATCAAATGTATTAGGAAACTGAATTAAAGCCTCCTTAGCATGTAATGTTGATAGAAAATGGCATGAGGAATAAGTGGACTTACTAACTGTTAACCATCAGCTAATTTCTATACTAAAGAGTTCTCTACGAGTTTACCGTAAGGTACAAACTGTGGTAGATCAAGGAGGGTAATGAGCAATCAAAATAGTGCAAAAATATAAAAAGTAAATCATGGCTTTATAGGATAGAATAGTTGTTGCTTTAAATCTACTCCTAGCCCAGACTGACTCCTCCAAATGTTAGGCATATTCATACTGATACTATTGCTCTGTCATATAAATGCTACACTAAGTGTAGATGCTTAGACAAATATGACCATTTTGCTGTAAGTCTTGGCCAAGGGCCAAAGGGTGGCCTTTGCAGTAAAGAACTAATCTTGCCCAAAGAAAGGTTTGGACCTTGCCTAACTCCTGAGAGTCAACCTCTAAGCACTCTGAATATCCTATCTGTTGGGAGTTTTTTTGTTTACCTTGGGCTATGCTGGACAGTCCACATACATGTGTGGATAACTGTATGGTTTATGGAGGAGATCTTGGGCCACGCAGTATCAGCTCAACCTCTGGGAGTGCTGGAAGCTAGAGTTAGCCACATGGGTATTCAGCCTGCTTATATGACTAACACCCCAATGAAAATGCTGGGCACAAAGGTTTGGGTAAGCTTCCCTGGTCAGTAATACTCTGTACATGTTGCCACCCATCGTTGCTGTGAGAAGTTAAGTGCTGTCTGCATGACTATTCTGAAAAGAGAAAATTGGATACTGATGCCTGGAACTCTCCTAGACTCTGCCCGATGTGCCTTTTCCCAATGGTAATTTTAACCTGAATCACATCATTGTAATAAACTGCACCATGAGTATAATAGCTTTGTGGAGTTCTCTAAGTCTTTCTAGTGAATTAGTGAACCTGTGAGTGGTCTTGGGGACCTCCCGAACTACATGAGTGAAAAGAGTAAAAAACAAATTTCAGCGAAAAGTTCTAAGACAAAAGTACAAAGTCATTAAGAATATATATATATATATATCCAAGAATATATATTAAACGGCATGTGCTGAGGTGTGGGGAGGGGAAAAGTGGGGCAAAGTATAACTGAATATGCTGATCACTGGAAAATATTAACCACAATATAAATTTATGTTCTAGCAGGCATGTAATTCAACACCCTAGTTCTAAATAAGATGTTTGTCTTCTGTTTTATTCACTCATTCTTCAAATATATACCGAGTACATACACAACGTGTGCCAGTTGCCATGCTGGTATTGGAGGGAGAAAACAAAATAAAATATCACGTTTCAGTAATTTATCATAAAAAAAGATTAGTCTTTATATACTGCTATTAATATTCTGAACAGCCTTATAAATATTATGGAAAAGTAATCTTTCATTTTGAAATTATTGCCTTCATTATTTACATGGAATATTTTTCCCCCCATTTCATAGATGAATGAATTCATGGTTTAAGTTTATTGAATTAAGAACTGAACAGCAAGTATTTATGAACTGCATATGTATGTCTGCAATAGAGGTCCCTTTTTTTTAGATCTTACACCTCACTTTACAGAAGACTTTGCAAACATAAAATTCAATCTCAATCCTTGGAGAGCACATGAGATAACAAAGGGTAAAAATGAAGACCTTCTTGCCATCACCATCCACAGGTTTAAAAACAGGCAAAACAAAAAGGTGAAATATTAACAAAACAATTAGGATTATATTCTTATGTATATTGTACAAATTAAAGAAATAGCATATTTACTAATGTTTTCAACTGTTCATCAACTAGAATTCTAGTACGTATGTATACTAATAATGCTCCAGCAATACATGATGCATACATAATCAGATAGGAGGTAGGAAAGAAACAAACCATCTACTCTCAGATAAGAAAAGTTTAGTGATCTAGAGCCATGTGTCAAATAAACTTTCTATGGAATGGTAAGATTCTTACTACACTTTCGTAGGCCACTTTATTACGCTGTTTGGCACTGTTATTGGGAGGACCAAGGAAAAAGAATGCTTGTGGTCAGATCCATAAAGCTAACTCAAGAACCGTCAGTGAGGGCTTCCCTGGTGGCACAGTGGTTGGGAGTCTGCTTGCCAATGCAGGGGACACGGGTTTGAGCCCTGGTCCGGGAAGATCCCACATGCCGTGGAGCAACTAAGCCCACGTGCCACAACTACTGGGCCTGCGCTCTAGAGCCCACGAGCCACAACTATGGAAGCCCACGTGCCTACAGCCTGTGCTCTGCCAACAAGAGAAGACACCACAATGAGAAGCCCGCTCACCGCAACTAAAGAAAGCCCACGCGCAGCAACAAAGACCCAACGTAGCCAAAAATGAATAAATAAATAATAAAAAAAAAAAGAACCTTCAGTGATAAGAATCCTTAGAGGTAAAGCTGATATAAGTGAAATGACGACAGTCAAAAAACACTATAGGGACTTCCCTGGTGGCACAGTGGTTAAGAATCTGTCTGCCAATGCAGGGGACATGGGTTAGATCCCTGGTCCAGGAAGATCCCACATGCCGCGGAGCAGTTAAGCCCATGTGCCACAACTACTCAGCCTGCGCTCTAGAGCCTGCGCTCCACAGCAACAGAAGCCACTGCAATGAGAAGCCCGTGCACTGCAACGAAGAGTAGCCCCCGCTCACCGCAACTAGAGAAAGTCGGTGCTCAACAACAAAGACCCAACGCAGCCAAAAATAAATAAATTTATATTAAAAAACCTGTAATAGAAGATTAGCCTAGGCAACCACTGAAACACAGTGATCTCCATTTACAGAAAATAGTAATTAAAAATGAATTTTATGATTTACCAACTGTCATGGCCCAGATTTGCCCAAGGAGACATAACTACTAAATGTAATGTGGTACCCTGAACGGGATTCTGGAACACTGACATTTAAGCTGAGGAAATCTGAATAAATGTAGAATTTAGTTAATAATAATGTATAAATAATAATCATACATAATAATGTATGAATATTAGTTCATTAATTGTGACCAATATGTATACTAATGTAAGATGCTAATAGGGAAAACTATTTAATAGGGGAAACTGTGAGGGGAGGAGATATCAGGCAGAGGAGTATATAGAAACTATTTTCTGCTCATGTTTTCCATAAATCTGACACTTCTAAAATAAAAACTTCATTAAAAAAATTCCAAGGCACAACTGAAACATATACTTCACTTAAAAAAAAAATTCTAGTTACCCTGAGAGTTACCACCTATCCTATATCCTGCTACACTGTAAATTCCTTCTGAGTTGAAGTCATGAGCACTTTGGATTATTAGTGTCTGGCACACAGTTATCCATAAACATTATGCAAACAGGTGACCAAATATTAAAGAAAAGTCTAAAAGCCTTAGAACATAACTATTTAACCTTTTTTCTGTTAGAAGATCTTGACATTTTGTAGGGTATTAATTATGAATATATGCTATCAAAATCTAAAGTGGTAAAACAAAATTACAACTTGAAAAAAAATTTCAAAAATTTTGATGTATAACATAGGAGACATTTGTAGGTTAGGTTATCAAATTCTCACATGAAAATATTATCTCTCCCCATTCTAATACACATCTGTTAGATATAATGAAAAAAATAAATCATGAATGCATGCAAACTTAAGTTAAACATTACTAAAATAACCTTACCTGACAAATTTTTTCCCAGATCTCATCACAGCCAGCTTTTTCCTGAAAACTTAGTGCCAGATCATAGTTCTCAGCTTCTGACCAAACAATTAATGTATCCTGTTTAAAAATAAAGATTTCTGTATCAGCACACCAGAAAAGAAACAACTACAAAGTATAAATAAAAATCAAGAGGACAGGAAACAGTGCAGCAATGCCCTCAGGTAAGTGCAATTAATGTACACTCAAATGACATCATATAACTGTATTTTGTTATCCTTTGAAATTTTAGTAATATCTGGCAATGAAGTCATAGCTTTGGTACTGAAAATGACAGTGAGCAATTTTCTGAAACAAAAAATATTAAAACATGTTAGCAAGCTCTAGCTCATGTTACCAAGATAATGTTTAATGGAAAGTCTAGCATTCTTGGCCAAAATATCATGTAGACATTCTAATCATCTACTTCCTATTGTTTCCAGAAAGTCAGCTGTTCCACTCACTAACCACCTACCCGTTTATTTTTCCCTTCAAGCTGGTTACCAGTAGGCTAACTAAATAGCTGATAATTATCCTAAGGTTTGACCCTTTCTATTTTTGCCTTTTTAAAATCTGGAAAAGCCTTCAGGATATTAAGGAATGTGAAACAATGCTGACAGAAAATACTTGCTCTACCTGTATTACCAACAGCACCTAGTTCAGCAGCTTAGATAGTAAAAAATTAAAAACCTCAGTTTCAGATAAGTGTTTTTCTGGATGTCCTTAATTATATCTCTCCCAAAAGGTTATGCCTTTAGGGAAAAGTTGTCAACTCCCTTATTAAAAACTAAGGTTTGGTTTTAAATTAAAACACTCAAGTTTAAACACGAAAATCACTATGCAACACCTAAATGAAATGGACTTTTAAAGGATACATAATAATGAAAGTTTAATATGGCCAAAACTTTGATTTAAAAAAAAAAAGCACATTTAAGTTTATTCCCTAATTATCAAAAATATAATCTATGAAAGCACCTTATATTTATTAATTGTTCAGCTGACAGTACTTATAAATATTATGCTGATATTAAAAAATATATAAAATTAAAAGTTAGCCCCAGGGACTTCCCTGGTGGTGCAGTGGTTAAGAATCCGCCTGCCAATGTAGGGGACACGGGTTCAATCCCTGGTCCGGGAAGATCCCACATGCCGCGGAGCAACTAAGCCCGTGTGCCACAACTACTGAGCCCATGCGCCACAACTACTGAAGCCCGAGCGCCTAGAGCCCATACTGAAACAAGAGAAGCCACCGCAATGAGAAGCCCTCGCACTGCAATGAAGAGTAGCCCCCGCTCGCCGCAACTAGGGAAAGCCCGCACACAGCAATGAAGACCCAACGCAGCCAAAAAAAAAGAAAAAAGTTAGCCCCAGATTAATAAAGACAAAGTTTTAAAAATGAAAACATTTCAATACTTTGGTAGCTCATCCCTTAATTAATCTAGGCCTCAGATGAATACTTATCTGTTGTGTGATCAGGTAAGAACAACACTGAAAATCTGTGTTCTAGCTTCTGGCTGACCATGCTTCTTGGAAGGGATATTTGCCATCAGCTATTCTAAAATTTTATCAGGTTGTTTAAAAACCTTTAGTGGCTTCCACCATGTAGAGAAGAGGTTGTGAAATCTTTTTAAAAAACCAGTAGAATGCTTTTTATAAACAAAATTTTAGTAAGAATCTCCATTAAAAAAAAAAAGATAAAAACAAGGCTATTCTAGTTAAAGCACTAGGGCACCCACACAAGCTCCATGTTCTTTCCTCAGTTCCTCAGTTGTTTTTTCAGAGCACTCCTCAAAACAGCTACATGAACAGTGCTCTCCAAACTTTTAAAAACCGTGTGCCTCAAATTACTTACATATTATATACAGAAGTATAATATTACTATAGCCATATTTTATAAAACATACAGTAAAATAGAAATTAAAAGGCTTATACAAAGATTAAATAAGCAATATTTAAAAATGTTTAAACTGCAATGGCTCCATAGCATTATTATTTAGAATTTTAAGACCCAATATTGTTAGGGCACAGTATATCCATAAGTGATAGGAGATACAAATCCGTATTTAGTGACATCCTTTTAATAATTCTGAATTTTGGGGGAGGGGAAACTTTTTGTAATATCTATTTTATCATTATTTCGGCTTTGTCACTTGCCCGACAGATTACACTAGGAGTGTAAATGTCAGTTGGACCATTATCTTGTTCACTTGCACTTACAGTACTGTTTTCAACCCATTTTAAGGCACATGCTCCTTTTGTTAGGGTTACAGGTTAGTTTAAATTGGAAAATATCTGTAAACAGTTATCTGCACATACAGGCTATAACTCACAATAGGCGGAGAACACTTTTCATGGAAACGTTACTCTTCTCTCAGAATACTATTCTTATTTTTGACTCTTGACCGCATGACTTTATTATATATTCGCAAAATTCAACTTCTCCTTTTGATACAATAAACAGGTTTCTTCTCCAATGATTCATACTGTGCATTCATTCTATTTTGGAGATCACTATTACAACAGAATGAATGAAATTCAAAACCATTTATCCAGGCATACAAGGCCCTTTGCATTTTGGTTCCAATCTACCTTCTGAGAGAAAAGTCGAGGTAAGCAACGAAGTCTGAATTAAGATAACTGAGTCCCCTTCTTCCTATCATTTTCTTTTGTTCTTTCCTTCCCATTCTTAACAGTAAACTCTTACTCATAAGCCAGTCAAAATCCCAGAAGCTAAATAGAATTTATATTCAGAATCCTTTTTCAATGCAAAGAGGACTGACCTTGGCAGATGGTTAAAAACATACATTCCCATGCTTCTCCCCTGGGTACAGGTCTGGAGTAAAGCCCAAGAATCCTTATTTTTTTTTTTTTTGCAGTACGCGGGCCTCTCCCGTTGCGGAGCACAGGCTCTGGACACGCAGGCTCAGAGGCCATGGCTCACGGGCCCAGCCGCTCTGCGGCATGTGGGATCTTCCCGGACCGGGGCACGAACCCGTGTCCCCTGCATCAGCAGGCAGACTCTCAACCACTGTGCCACCAGGGAAGCCCCAAGAATCCTTATTTTTAACAAGGGTCTCGGGTAATTCTTTGGGTAAGTCAAAATTGAGAACATGACCGAACTGTATCTCTAGTTGGTAAACAGAGGATAGGGAAGTGCCATCAAGAGTAGGCACCTTCCATCTCTATGCACCTATCCCAAATGGGTGACAAAATGCATCTTTCCTTTTCCTCCTCCTCCACATCTTACTGTCTCAGAAAAAAGTACCCATAAGAACAACTCCTTAGAACTGCTTATTCCAAGGGTCAAAGTTCCTAGGTGAGAGAATATAGAGATGGCACAAGAATACTGAAACCAGAATGAAGTGTCAAGTGGCACAGTTTCCTATATATCCAAAAAGCCTAGATTGAGTCAAGCCCAATTTTTCATAGTAAAGTCTGTTTCAACCACTGTACTCTGTGACATATTTTTTCTAATCTGTGCGTGGCACACATGTCTTTGAGACGTTATTAATGCCTCTGTTTAAACCAAGGAAAGCTTAGAGTTTTCTTCTACTAACTAAAACACTTAATCACCACTATGTCCCTATGGAAGTCAGATTTAAAAATGAGCTTGCAGGGAGAATTATAATTGGTCTCGTCCTTAAAAAAAAACAAACAAAAAGGTGATTATGTCCAAGTCCAGGATGGGAGTAAGACATGAGCTAGAGAAGCTTGACAATTTAGCCTTTACTGTATCAGGTTTTCACAGTGTAGTTTTATTATGCGAAATGGTTATTTTCAATCTTATATATTAAAAACGTACTCTGGAGCCAATTACTGTTTAAATCAGAGGTTCTTAATCCAGAGTCTACAGACACCTTAAAATTTTATCTAAAACCTGCTGCATAATATCTATTTTGGGGAAAGAGTCTCCAGTTTTTATATATTCACAAAGGAATCTGTGACACATTTTTAAAGGGCCTAACAAACCAATGGATTATCTGTTTCAGTTTTCCTCCTTGATACTGATCTACTTCATTAACATGAATAGTATCTAGTCATGAAATATCTGAGATCCTACTGCTTGCCAGACTAACCCTATCTTTGCCCCCAATGACTTTGACAAAATTAATAAAAAGCTCAAGTTTTTCAAAGGAATAATATTTTTTTAAAAAAAGGAAGATGGAAATATTAGATTCAATTTACAAGTTCAAAATCAATTTAAAGTCTGAAAATAAGTGAGATTAACCAGACAACGCAGCATGTAACTCTCTAGTAGTTCCTAATAGTAGCTGACTTAAACTCCTTCTGAGATAGATTTTTAAATAATAGTGTGGCATAACATATAATCCAAGACAGACATGATGACACTACTTACAAACAATGGTAGTATCTTATCTTCTCAAAATCTGTGATATATTTGGGTACAATGGGCATAACCATGAACTAGGATGAGGACCTGGGAGCACCACCCACAGTTTTACTGTCCACTATTTTGGTGACTTTCAGCAAAGTATTTAACTTCTTTGATTTTCTTTCCTTATTGGAAAAGAGGAAAATGCTGTCTACATAAAGATTATTGTAAGATTACTATGAATACAGTTATCTTATTGCACTCGTGTGTCAGGTACTATGGTAAAGCCCTTTTCATACATTAATTTACAACTATTATGTGAGTTAGGTAGCATCTCCATTTAAAAAATGAGATTCAGAGAAAATTTGCTCAAAATCATATAGCTAGAAATAACAGAATTAAAAAACTTAAGAGTATCCATCCAACTCTAAACCCATGTTCCTGTTACTATGCCCCATAAGAAATGTAAACAAATTCTAAAAGATGGCGAAGGTCTTAACAACTTGCTTCCCAAGCGCCTCCCCTGTAGCACTGTAAGAAACAGAAAGGATCCTAACGAAGAAAGCCCCCTCTCCATCTGATTCCCAAAGATTCCTCCATTCCAGACCACCACCCAGAACACATCTCTACCAATCACTCTGCTCCATCTTTCCAACCTAATCATTCACGTCCTCTACTTGTGCACCTGATCTATAGTTCAAGGTCAGAGTGGACCCTACTCATTACAAATTCATGCTGTCATTTGAAT